TACTTCCTGTGCTGTAAAGTCTTGTTCCAGGTCCTCTGCATAGTCAAGGTGAGGTAAAGGATGAAGGCTCCCTGGTCACTGCATGTCGTTCTAAGCTACATGGTCAAACACACCCCTGAAGTATGAAAATAGTCTCTCGGATGGGATTGCGCAGTAGGGTGAGGGCCCGTCGAGGATCTCTCTCATAGACTTAGGGCGGTTTGACTGGTAGAGCTTCTGGATCCTGGATGCTGCTGCTGGGCCGTAGTGGTGACTGATGTTCCTTCTCCTGGCTTCTCTCCTGTGGTGGTTGATGTTGTTATGTCTCCATGCCGGAGCTCTGTGAGCAGTCGGTGTGTTCTCCTGAGTTCCTTTCCTCCCAGATACAAATTTTGCAGACAGGTCTTAGTGAGTCTGTCTACAAGGAGGTCAAAGTCATTGAAGGAGGCTGTCCTTGCCAACTCCTCCATCCAAGTGGCTTGCCGAGGTGTGGCAGCCCTCACCGAAGGTTGCTGCTCCTCTGGCTGCTCAATCTCCACAAGCTCAGGCTGGAAAACTGCTGTGGGATTAGCCTGTTGCCTATTTTCCTCCCGGTTTTGAGTACTCTATTCAGCTGGATCTTGAGGCATGATCTCCGAAACAAGGGCAGTGTCTTCCTTTGCAGTTTTTAGGGCAGCACTTGTCCTTTTAGGAAAGACAGTTTTAGGGGCAGCGGTAATGGCCCTTTTAGGGATGCGGTCTTGCTTGTGAGTTTCCAGAGCAATGCTGGTCCTTCTGTGGATGAGTTCTGTTGGGGTGGGGAGGGGGTCTTTCATGCAGTGTGAGACCTTCTGGGGGCAAGGTCCTCGTGGGTGGTGTTGGAGGCCATGCTGGTCTGCCTAGGGGTGAGGTCCCTTTGCGTGGTCCTAGCTGCATAGATAGCTCCTCCACTATCTGGGTCTCACTGGGTAGCCTGAGTGGTGAAGCTAGCTCTTCTGATGACAGGATCCCATTAAGTTACCTGCGCGGGGGCACTGACCCTTCTGATGATGGTGTCATGATGAACATTCTGTGAGGAAGCACTAAGCTGTCTGGAGATGTAGTTGCCTCACGTAGGCTGCGAGGGAGCGCTGATCCTCCTTTTGGTGGGGACCAGCTTAGGGATTTTTAAGGCAGCACTTACTCCTTCAATGGTAGTATGCTTTTGGGTGGTCCAATGGACAGGAGTAGTCCTTCCCTCAGTAGATTGTTGGACCACCTTTCCGTGCTCTGGCTCTGGGGGAGTTGGCTGTGATGCAGTAGCCAGAGTATTTGGGCAGTCGGAAGCTGGAGTTGGAGCATGTGGTGTTTCTGCATTCAGAGCAGAGATGGGATGGTGGCAACATAGTCTGGCAGAGTTGAGATTCTTCAGGGGTGAGATGTCCCTTGCAGGAGACTTGATGCAACTTACATTTCTTCTGCGTCTCAAAAGGCAGGTCACAGAGGGCACACCGGAAGGCAATCTGCTTGCCATGGATTTTCTTGAGGTGTCTGCTGAGACTGTCAATGTACTGGAATCCTCGAACTGGATAGCAGAAGGGCCAGAGGACAATGTCCATAGGGAGGGGATATTGGAGGTAGAGGCAATCATTCTCCCTTTCTTCTTGCTCTGCTAGATGGGCTTCAGTCGTATCAGTGGACTCACTAGATGGTTCTCGTTGCGCTGGGAGAGTAGTATGGAGAGGTTTGGCTGGGCAGGCATCTAGTGAGGTGTTGAGGTCCCGCTGGGTGGTTTCTGAGGAGAGGCTGGTTTCTGAGGAGAGACTGGTCCTGCTGGCTGAGAACACTGCAGGACAACAACCAGCATCAGGATCCTGGGCAGTAGAGGAGGTGGAAGAAGTTCTCCTTGTGGCATCTTTCTCCTGAAGAGCTGGGGAGACGATGTTTGTCCTGGCTGTGATGTCCAGGAAGGCCGTCCTCGAGGTGCAAGATCCCCCTACTGCAGCATTTCCACAGGTTTTCTTCAAGGAAGCAATGTTCTGGAAGCACTGCGGGTGTTCTTGGTCTGTCCTGGAGCCTCCAAAGCAGCATGAAGATCTTCTTTTGAAGCAGCAGCAGAATCCATCTTCAGAATAGTAGTCTTCTTCAGGATAGCAGGTCGAGTCTTCTACAAAGTGCAGTTTCTGCCTCAGTAATTAAACTGATAAGAACAGATATAAAAATTTTATTAAAGCTAATGTTAAAATTATATAATACACAGGTTGAGATAAGTGTGTCTGTACAATATATGCAAGTGCTATTCCATAGCCCCACTGCTCTTTTCTGCTATCCCATGTCTAGCTCCAACTTGCAATCAGTCATACCGAAGATACTTCTAGTTTCTCTTCATAGCAGTCTGGTGCCTTGCCTTCGTATAGCTGCACACTCTGCATGGCTTGTCCCCATTCCCTTAGTGGACGGCCCCCTTCAGCGGGACACAGTTGAGCTGGGTCTTATTGACAAATCTCCAGCCAGCAAATCGGGTGAAGCTGCCTCGAGGGAGGAAGCAGTTACTGGCGATCCAGTTGCATATCACCTCGAAGGCCTTGCCCTACTCTGGCTTCCATCTCAGGTTTACCTCATATTGCCAACAGGTGGCATCCTTCAGGGTCCTCTCCAGCATGGTTTTAGCTCTCAGTCTAGAAACTACCTTTTATAGAAAATGACACCTACCTGCCCAGAGTCACGCTATTTCTCCTGAAATAGCGTGACTCTGGGCAGGTAGCTGGGGCTTTGTCACAACACCCAGTATCCATAGGCACCAACTTTTGCTCAACCCTGCTCTGCCCCCAGCCCCGCCCCGACTCTACCCCTTCCATGAGGCCTGGCCCCTGCCCCACCCCCATTCCAACCCCTTCCCCAAAGTCCCCGCCCCAACTCCGCCCCCTCACTGCCCCTATTCTGACTCCTTCCCCAAATCCCCGCCCCATCCCCGCCTCTTCCCTGCCTCCTCCCCTGAGTGCACCACGTTCCCGCTCCTCCCCACATTTCCCGGAGCAGCCAAACAGCTCTTTGGCGGCGGCAGGGCGGGAAGTGCTGGGAGGTAGGTGGAGGAGCGGGGACACGGCGCACTCAGGGGAGGAGGCAGCTGAGGAGGAGGTGGGTGGGAGGGGAGCTTGGCTGCCGGTGGGTGCAGAGCACCCACTAATATTTCCCCATAGTCAGCGCCTAATTTTCCAGCCACGGAGTCGGCGCCTATGCATGTATCAGCAGCCTGGTGATAAAATCACAAGCATTGGCAACCTTGGGAACTCCAACTCATTGCTTTCCACTTGAGCAGAGCTTGAATGCTCAGTGGATTCACCCTTCGCTAACAGACTTTCTGGATGTAGGTAATGAGTGAAAAATCATTGAAAACATTATCATTGCCAGTCTCTTCTCGACTGGCCTTTTGTTTTAAATGACTTTGTCCAATTCTGTCCCATGCATCTCTCTGTAGTCACAGAGCTTGTCTAAGGTTATTGGGCCTTGTTCTTATTTTGGTTTTTAGTCAAGTTCTTAATCTCTCTAGTGCAGAATGATGATGATCTTTTGACCTGTGCTTTGCTCAGATTGTAATCAGTGTTCTGAACTCAATGAAACGTATCCTAATTCACCAGGAGTTGATGGAAATATACGGAGAGTGATGTTTGCACCTAAATACACATAAAAAGCATTTGTTGGATCTTTCTCCACCCTCTTCAGCCAGCTTTAAGAAAGCAACAAGAAAAGGGACTTACGCCAGCTGCAGTCGGCCCACCAGCTGGGTCTTTCCTTGAAAAAAATAAGTGGAAATGCTACAAGCTGCTGCACTGAGTGTGTTTTGCACGCTGAAGGTTGGTTAAGTTAAAAATATTTCCCCAGAAGTGGAAATTAATAATTTGGAATGTTGTGTGTTCGCTGGACTTTATTTGCATACAACAACTACAGCAGGTCATATGTCATCGTATTAATTGCTTGGCACTTGACTTTTTTTTTCAAAGCACTAAGCAAACTTTTATTAAGGAATGTATTAAATGCATTAGATGCATTAATTGGTGAGAGATTATGTCATTGTGATAGCCAGGAATGGAATCTAGGATCCTGTTTCCAGGTCCCCTTTTCTAACCCATACACAATACTGCCTCTGCCTAGATGTTTGCTGCATACGCATGGTTTAATCAGTGGCATCCTTCGTGGCATGCACTCACATTTCTACATTGTGCAATGATGAGAAGAAATATACTCTGTCGGATTCATTTAGGATTTTATATCACGCTGATCTCTCAAGATAAACCTGAATAACACTTTTCTGAGGGACCAAAAATTGAAGTTAATACCATTCCCCACCTCCCTAATTTTCATTCATCTCTGCTCTTCTTGGCTCTAGCTAGCACCAGTCTGACAACCATAGAAATACTATGAAAGATAATATTCCCCTGTCTGTCATATATGGTCCCCGTTAACATAGCGTCCACATACCTCTCAGTCGTCAATGTATTTATCCTCAGAGCACCACTGCGAGTTCAGTATTATTGTCTCTTTACAGATTGGGAACAGGCACACAGAGAGATTGAGTGGTCCAAGTTCACAAGAGGAGTTTGTAGCAGAGCAGATAATGGATGCCATGTCTCTTTCATTACATGCTAGTGTTCTTATAACTTCACAATTCTCCCTTATGCTCCTAGGGGTATTTTCAACCTGTCTTGGAGCCTGAAATACTGACGAAAGTCTATTTGCATGAGACTCATTACCCAGCTTTTCAGATTCAGGTTGTTAGTCTCTATAAGGTTACAACATAACAAGGTGTTTTCCAGACAGAAGTTCCCACCACACCGAAGTTTTCTGTATAAATACCTAAGTCTGGGAGCTTCTAATAAAAATAAATTATGAGAAATTTTCCACCCACTGAAGGAAGCCAGCACAAGACCGAAATATCACTTTCATCCCATTTAAGCCCAGTTTTAAATGGTGTGTAATCCTTGGGCCTCGGCTTGACTTGATCATATGGAAAATACATGAGGTCAATTCTGAATAATATCAAATGAAAGCAAAATAAACGTTCATAGAGTGCCTTCAGATTTTATTTCTACTACAAGGCCTTTAGACAACCAGTGAGTTTCCAAGCCCCATCATGCAAAGAATTATTTGCCATTGACTTTCAAACAACTTGCACATCAAGAGATACAGAAGAGGTGCATGGGTCACACAAATAGGACTAGCATCTAGCCTTCAAATAAAGAGAACAATCAGAGGCTCTCACTAAGGCCTCCACTACTGTAGGGTAACTGTTAAGCAATTGCTGGACTGGTGCTGCTCCAGTGATGGAAGCTGTAGTTTGGACAAGGGTCAGCTGTTTCTAGTAGCGTTAGACCCTGGCTTTTATTAGAAAAGTTGCAATAGTTTAACTATATGGATTTAAAATTGATCTTGCTAGACTGAAACAAAACCCCAATGTAGATGCATTTAAATCAGAGTAGTCCTTATTTATATTGGTTTGGCTTAAATGTGGTAATTTACAAGTCCTTAGACCTGATCATATTGCTTTTGCCCTGCTGACAATCTTTGTCTACACTGGCAGTTTTCTGAAAATATCCCCTCATTGCACCTGCCCTCTTAAGTCCAAAGCCCACTTAAGTCAACTGGAGTCTGTTTATTGATTTTAAGGAGCTTTCGGCCCAACCTCATGGACCAACTGCCATGTGGTCTGGACCTGTTCTGGTCAGGGCTAGATGACCTGATCATGAAAACACAAGCAACTGCCTAGGCTAGCTAGTTAACAACCTAGCTATTGCATTAATGCCATGCTCATCTTCACGGTTTCTGGCTGCTTTTTCTGTGAGGGGCACCCGGGCAAGTCTTAAGTGAATTGTTTTGCAAGTTTCAGGGACACAGTTTAATGTAGGTGATTGTGGAGCAGACTGAAAAGAGGGGGAACACTCTCTCATTAAAGGCAACATTAAAAGTAAACATGTGCTGCATGTTCTCAGCGTTGTAGAATGACACCTCTTCCCCTTCGTAGTCTAGGTAAACCCGGACCTTACTGAGCCTCTCGCCGATGCAAAGCGGGGTGCGTTGAGGGGAGGTGACAGCCCAGTAGCGCCCTCCGTTTTGTTGCACTGCCCAGATCCCCTCCTCGGGGGAAAACTGAGTCAGACCTTTCCTCCTCACCGACTCCCTGGCCACCCCAAAAGCCCAGCCGTCTGAGGCCCCCACTTCCACCTCCCAGTAATGCCTCCCCGACTTGAATCCTTCCAAAGCCAGCACCCGGGAGTTAGTGTCGAATCGCTTGGGGTTATCAGGCAGCTCCTGTTTTCGGCATCCCATCCTCACACTCTTGAGATCTGTGGATAAGATGAGCAGCTGGTTGGCTGTATCCGGATCCAGAGTCAGGTCCTCTGTGGATAATAATAAGAACAACAATGTAGAATTACCAGTAGAAGGAGAAACTATGCAAACCCCCATGCAAATGATTAGCAATTTTATATCTGCACTAGAAGCTTGATTTCATAGGTGCTGACTCCATAGGTCTCCAGGGCTGGAGCACCCCCAGAAAAAAAAACAGTGGGTGCTCTGCACCCACTATCAGCCCCATGGATCAATGCCTCCCCCTCCCCCCCGGCATCTCCTGCCTGCCGGCAGCCCCTCCCATAAGCTCCTCTCCCTCCCAGGGCCTCCCGCCTGCAATGGATCAGCTGTTCTGCAGTGTAGGAGGCGTTGGGAGAGAGGGGGAGGAGTGGGGGAAGGAAAAGGCAGGACAGGGGTGGGAAGAGTCAGGGCAGAGACTTGGAGGAAGGGTGGAGCGGGGGTGGGGCTTGGGGCGGGACAGGGGTTGAGCACACCCCGGCAACTCGGTAACTCGGCACCTACGCTTGATTTTATGACCATTTTTCCCAATGAGGGTAGAAGGGGGAAATTTCATCATGACGGTGATGTCAGTGAAGAGCTTGTCCTTGTTCCTTCACATTCTGATGCCTTCAGTTCACTGGAAATTACTTTGCTGTGGTTTGAAGGACTAGAAGAAAGCAACAAAGTGCCCCCTGTTGCATCTTACACACACCCCTGCACTGTCCTTTTGCGAGGTGCATTTTTATGAACTTTTCAATGTTATGAACACCTCAGTCCCCAATTATTTGTAAAACGAGGGTTCTGCTGTAATAAAAAGCAACTGATACCTAGGTCAAGTTTTTCAAAATTGGTGGTGCCTCCATTTTCTGGGAGGGGCCTAAGAACAAGCGAGACCTGGAGCCTCCGGTCCAAACCAGTTCCTAGTTGAGATGGTTCAGATCTGAATTCACAGCTTCCACTGGCTTCAGTTGGATTTGTGGTGGCTCAGCACTTCTAAAAATGAGGTCACTTACGTATTTAGGTGCTTGATGTGAGTCACATAAGGTGCTTGACATGCCATCTTCTAAAAACCAGAACCTCTTAAAAACTGAGTATCCTTAGAATACCTACCAGTCAGTGTTGAAAATCTTGGCCTAAACATATCTCCATACCTCAGATTGGATGCAGATGGGTCTTAAGGAAGAGGGTAGATAAAATGATGCTTTATTCACAAAGTCAGGCTTAAAACAATAAGATAGCTTAAGGGTATGTTCACAGAGCACAAAACCCATGGATGGCCCATGCCAGCTGACTTGGCCTTGTAGGGCTCGGGCTGTTTCATTGCTAAGTAGATTTCTGGCCTTGAGCTGGAGTCCAACTTCTGGAATCCTCCCACTTCACAGGGTCTTAGACTCATGGCTCTAGCCCAAGCACAGATGTCTACACAGCAATGAAACAGCCCCGCAGCCCAAGCACCGGAGTCATCTGGCACGGGCCACCCGTGAGTGTCTAGTTGCTGTGCAGACACACCCTAAGTCACCTCAAATTGTGACTATAGGCAGCAAAGTTGCAAGGTGAAAATGGCATGTTCTCAAGCAATACAGCTGCCTCCCATGAACTGTCAAGTCGTGTTAACATAAGAACGTCCGTACTGAGTCAGACCAAAGGTCCATCTAGCCCAGTATCCTGTCTTCTGACAGTGGCCAATGCCAGGTTCTCCAGAGGGAATGAACAGAAGAAGGTAATCATCTAGTGATCCATTCCCCTGTCGCCCATTCCCAGCTTCTGGCAAACAGAATCTGGGGTTTTAGAAGCATCAGGGATTTGGGTTCCAAGGTTTAAATTCCCTTCCACTTCACTGAAAATCCCAGCTTTTCAGTACCATAAAAAAGGGCCTGAAATTTCCCAATGAACTTAAATAGGCTCCATCTTTGTCCTCATGGATGAAACCTTGGCCCCACTGAAGTGAGTTTCAAACCTGCCATTGGCTTCAATAGGGAGGCCGGATTTTGCCCAACAGTTGTATGCCCATTGGCCCAGCCAATGCGGCTTCTGTTTTGTCTCACCAAAACGGTTTAAAATTTAAGAGTGTTCAGCTCTCACTTCCCAGATCCGGCCGCTCCCATTGGCTTCAGCTGGATTTGTGGCTGCTCAGCACTTCTGAAAACAAGGCCGTTAGAGATCTAGCTGCCCAATTATGAATTGAGGAGCCCGACTTTAGGCATCCAGGCTTGAAAACCTCAGCCTAGGCCCTCTGGGGCTTTGCTCAGGCCCTCAGCTGGGCCTGCAAAAGGCCAAGGCTTTGTGGCAGCACCACAGAGATGGGTGTGAAAGCTGGTGACGTGGCAGCCATGAAAGTGATGTGGACTAGAACAGAGTGAGGGTGAAAGGCCTGTTTGTTAACAGAGAGCATCCGCATTAGGCAGAGGGGGTAGCCCCAAAATATCTGAGCCATGAAATCACCTGGATTCATTTAAAGGGCAATATTGATTTTATGCACTTTTAAAAAATGTTTGCAGTCTTGATTCTGCCCCTCCTATTGTCACTGGATGAAATTCACACCTTTGCAGAGATCACTACAAGGCCTAGGGATAATTTATCTCAAGCTTAGGCCTCCAAAATAGGCCTTGAGTAGGACTAAGGTCATGGGTGGGCCATATGCTGTTATTTACTCCTTCTTGTAACACAAGAACTAGGCATCACCAAATGAAATTAATAGGCAACAAGTTTAAAACAAACAAAAGGAAGTATTTTGTCACACAACCCACAGTCAACCTGTGGAACTCCTTGCCAGAGGATGTTGTGAAGGCCAAGACTATAACAGGGTTCAAAAAAGAACTAGGTAAGTTCATGGAGGATTGGTCCATCAATGGCTATTAGCCAGGATGGGTAGGGATGGTATCCTTAGTTGCTGTTTGCCAGAAGTTGGGAATGGGCCACAGAGGATGGATCACTTGATGATTATCCATTCTTTTCATTCTCCGAAGCACCTGGCATTGGCCACTGTTGGAAGACAGGATACTGGACAAGATGGACCTTTGGTCTGACCCAGTATGGCCATTCTTATGTTCTCTGTACCTGGGTGGATTTCACCCCTTGCAAGTTTGTCAACCCCAAATGTTCAAAAATCACAAGTCTGACCCCCCTCCCTACAGAAATCTTGAGATTTGTTTAAACAATGATAAAAGTAGGGTTATTTGTTGGTTGGTTTCTGAGCCTTTGGGATGCCCTTGGGTCACATTTTCCAATTTTTCCACAGCCAACAGATCTGGGAACGTATTCTTTTAAAACAAAAATGAAAGCTGAGATTCTCTCGAATCACATGATTCCTGGTACTGGGGCTTTAAATAAAACATCAGCTATCATGAGACATGTAATAAGATTGTGAGAGCTGATAACATTGCCGTGAATTATAACTTAGGGTCTGATCTAAAGCCTTGTTGAAAAGAAAATTGGACAACAATTTGCTTTGGATCAGTCCCTTCTTCACAGTGTGCTCTCTTGATTTCTCATGGAGCAAAGGCCCACTGTGGACTTGTTTACACTTAAAAGGGGTTGCTATCAGTAAGGTATAGTAGCACAGCTAATCAAAGTGGAGATGCAGCTGAGTTCTTTTGCTGGTGTAGCTTAAACCAGTTCCCTGAACGGAATAAGCTGTACAAGCAAGGTATTTTTGCTGCTATAATTGCATCTGCACAAGGGCTCTTACCAGCACAGCTACAGTAGAACCTCAGAGTTACGCACCCCTCAGGAATGGAGGTTGTTCATAACTCTGAAAGATCCGTAACTGTAAACCAACGAAAAGAAAAGGAGGACTTGTGGCACCTTAGAGACTAACCAATTTATTTGAGCATAAGTTTTTGTGAGCTACAGCTCACTTCATTGGATGCATTCAGTGGAAAACACAGTGGGGAGATTTATATACATAGAGAACATGAAACAATGGGTGTTACCATACACACTGTAAGGAGAATGATCACTTAAGGTGAGCTATTACCAATCATTATAATCAAGGTGGGCCATTTCCAGCAGTTGACAAGAACGTCTAAGGAACAGTGGGGGTTGGGGGGGAGAATAAATATGGGGAAATATTTGCTTCAGGTTGGGGGGCTGTCTGTAAGCAAGGACTGGCCTGTCTTCCAAGATCTGTGAGAGTGGTGGGTCGTCCTTCAGGATAGGCTGTAGATCCTTGATGATGCGTTGGAGAGGTTTTAGTTGGGGGCTGAAGGTGATGGCTAGTGACAGCCCCCCAACCAGAAGCAAATACTCACCAGCAACCACACACCACACAACAGAACCACTAACCCAGGAACCTATCCTTGCAACAAAGCCTGTTGCCAACTGTGTCCACATATCTATTCAGGGGACACCATCCTTGTGCCTAATCACATCAGCCACACTATCAGAGGCTTGTCCACCTGCACTTCTACCAATGTGATATATGCCATCATGTGCCAGCAATGCTCCTCTGCCATGTACATTGATCAAACTGGACAGTCTCTACGTAAAAGAATAAATGGACACAAATCAGACGTCAAGAATTATAACATTGAAAAACCAGTCGGAGAACACTTCAATCTCTTTGGTCACTCGATTACAGACCTAAAAGTTGCAATTCTTCAACAAAAAAACTTCAAAAACAGACTCAAATGAGAGACTGCTGAATTGGAATTAATTTGCAAACTGGATACAATTAACTTAGGCTTGAATAGAGACTGGGAGTGGATGGGTCATTACACAAAGTAAAACTATTTCCCCATGTTTATTCCCCTCTGCCCACTGTTCCTCAGACGTTCTTGTCAACTGCTGGAAATACAGCATACAGACTAACACGGCTGCTACTCTGAAACTTGTAAACCAACAGTTCTCAAACTGTGGGTTGGGACCCCAAAGTGGGTTGCGACCCTGTTTTAATGGGGTTGCCAAGGCTGTCGTTAGACTTGCTGGTGCCTGGGGCCCAAGCCAAAGCCCAAGCCCCACCACCTGGGGCCCAAGCTTCAGCCCTCGATGGCGGGGCTTAGGTTACAGGCCTTCTGCCTGGGACTGAAGCCCTTGAGCTTTGGCTTTGCCACCCCCTGACCCAGCCCCTGCCTAGGACTCAGGGTTCGGTCCATGGTCCTGGGGTTGTGTAGTGATTTTTGTTGTCAGAAGGCGGTCGCGGTGCAATGAAGTTTGAGGACCCCTGCTCTAAACAAAACATTATGGTTCTTTCAAAAGCTTATAACTGAACACTGACTTAATACAGCTGTGAAGCTTTACTATGCAGAAGAAAAATGCAGCTTTCCTTTTTTCAAATTTTTTTAGTAGTTTATGTTTAACACAGGACTGTCCTGTATTTGCTTTTCTTTCTTTTTCTTCTTCTTCTTCTTCTTTTTTTTTTTTTGGTCTCTGCTGCTGCCTGATGACGTACTTCCAGTTCCAAATGAGGTGTGTAGTTGACTGGTCAGTTCGTAACTCTGGTGTTCATAATTCTGAGGTTCTACTGGATATCCATTAGCGGTATGATTTTTTTCACATTTCTGACATAGCTATGCCAGTCAAACTTTCTAGACCAGACCTCAGAGTAAGTTTGGCAAAATCGGGACCTTAATTTGCTGTTTGAAATGCCTGAGGAACCAAGCCAGAGGGAATTGGATGACACCAGAGTAAGTTAAAATCTCTGTGCTTTCCATTGCAAGCTGCAGGCTGGTGTGTGTAACAGGCAGAAAGGACCCAGCTTGACTTGCAGAGCCTCAGTGAGAAAATCCATCTTTTGACTCTTGAACTTATTGGTGAGGCCTCATCTGGAGTACTGTGTCCAGTTTTGGGCCCCACACTTCAAGAAGGATGTGGATAAATTGGAGAGAGTCCAGCGAAGGGCAACAAAAATGATTAGGGGTTTGGAACACATGAGTTATGAGGAGAGGCTGAGGGAGCTGGGATTGTTTAGCCTGCAGAAGAGAAGAATGAGGGGGGATTTGATAGCTGCTTTCAGCTACCTGAATGGGGGTTCCAAAGAGGATGGCTCTAGACTGTTCTCAATGGTAGCAGATGACAGAACGAGGAGTAATGGTCTCAAGTTGCAGTGGGGGAGGTTTAGATTGGATATTAGGAAAAACTTTTTCACTAAGAGGGTGGTGAAACACTGGAATGCGTTACCTAGGGAGGTGGTAGAATCTCCTTCCTTAGAGGTTTTTAAGGTCAGGCTTGACAAAGCCCTGGCTGGGATGATTTAACTGGGATTTGGTCCTGCTTCGAGCAGGGGGTTGGACTAGATGACCTTCTGGGGTCCCTTCCAACCCTTATATTCTATGATTCTATGATTCTAACTGAGGGCTTGTCTACATTTGAAATGCTACAGCTGCAGATGGGCCACTGTAGAGCTTCAGTGTAGTTACCGCCTATGCTATGGAGATGAGTTCCCGTCAGCATAGGTAATCCACCTTCCCAAGAGGCAGCTAGGTCAACAAAGAATTCTTCTGTTGACCTAGCGCAGTCTACCTGGAGACTTAGGTTGGCTTAACTTTGTCACCTTGGGGTGTGGATTTTTTATGCTCCTGAGCGACACAGCTGGGTCAACTTCACTTTTTAGTGTAGACCAACCCTAAGCCAACTGCATCTGGAAATCATTGAGAAAGAAGAAAATTAAAATTGTCATTTTTCTTTCACCAAAACCTGTAGGTGCCGACTCCGTGGGTACTCTAGGGGCAGGGAAAAATAGTGCGTTCACCACCCACCAGTCACCCACCTATCAGCTGTTTGGTGAGCCCTGGTGATCAGCTGTTCAGCTGTGGGCAAGAGGCACTGGGGAGAGGGAGCGGAGTGGGGGAGGGAAGAGACAGAGCAAGGGTGGGGTCTTGGGAGAAGGGGCGGAGTGGGGGTGGGGCCTCGGGGCAGAGCGGGATTGGAGCACCCACCTGAAAAGAAGAAAGTTGGTGCCTGTGCCAAAACCCTTTGCAAATTACAACCAAAATGTAAAGTCTATGTTCCTTTTACCTTTTTCACCTTTTCCCAGTTCATCCTGCAGAGTCTCTGAAAGAAGAAGAAAGTCAGTTACTGCCGATGCTGATATACCAGTGAGGATCAGTAAGGAAACTTTATTCAGAAGAATACTGCCACTTCAACAGGACTGCTCCTGTGGGTAAGTTCCCAGTAACATGACTAAGGGCTGGACAAACTTAACTTCAAGTAACATCACTAAGGGCAGGTCGACACTTACAACGCTGCATCTTGCTTCAGCATAGCTACGTCTCTCAGGGGTGTGGAAGTTCCACAGAGACATAGCTATATTGACCTAACCCTCAGTGTAGACAGTGTTAGGGCAGGTCTACACTTCAAACACTGCAACTACCGCTGCTGTACTGATGCAGCTGCACCACTGTGGTACTTAAGTGAAGACGCTCCTATGCCGATGGGAGAGAGCTCTCCCATCAACGTAGTTAATCCACCTCCCTGAGAGGCGGTAGCTAGGTCAGTGGGAGAAGCTGTCCCATCAACATAGCGCTGTGTATGTGGGGGGTTAGATCAGCATAACAAAGTTGCTTCGGGGTGGGAGGAATTCAGCATAGCCAACACGGGTGGAGCGTGACTCCTACATTTGAAGAGTCTGGGCATGAGTGAGCCCGGACCGTGGCTCCGCCCACCTCCGCTCAGCCTCCTCCCCCCGAGGTCCCTCCTGCGCTCCACCCCCACTCCGCCCCAGGCCCCGATCCCGCTCAGCCCCTTCTCTCAAAGCCCTCCTCGTCCCCTGCTAGCACCTCTCCGCCCCCTCCCCCGAGACACCCCCGCCCCCCCCCCCGCCCACCACTCATGCCTCTCCACCCCTAGGGCCCTCTCACCTGCCGCTCGATCCTTTCTGCCCTCCTCCTTCCCATAAAAATCACCAGGGGGTCATGGGGCCAAACCCCCATCATTTTTTCCTGCCCTAAGCAAGCAACAGAATGGGAGAAGGTGGGGAGAAGTGAGAAGTGGGTAAAGGGAGGCCTCAGGGGAAGAGGTGCAGGGGGGGGGCAGAACCTTGGGGAAAGAGGCAGAGTGGGGGTGGGGAGGAGCCAGGGACTCATCCCCCACTTCTATGGAGTTTCACTTCCGGCGCTCCAAATGCGGCGACTGGCTGGCGTGGCTCCAGAGGGGTGATCTGCAACACACCCGCGGCAGTTCCACCCTGCATGGCTGGCCATTTTTTGGGAGGCTTAGCCTCCCCTGGCCTCTTATACATGCCGCCCAGAATGGCCAATCCCTAGCGCTCAAAAGTCATGAGTCACCACCCCCCAAAAGTCGTGAGATTGGCTTAAAATATTAATACTTTTCTTCTTATTTTTCTGCGCTGTCTGGTTTCTGAGACGTTAAGCTACACTCTCGGGCCATGTTCTCAAGTTTTTCTGTGCAACCACATGGCCTAGAAACTTCCTTTTTAAAAATATGACAGCGGAGATCCTCATGAAGTAGCTTGATTCTGGGAAGCGGGGGCTTTGAGCACAATGCGCAGTGTTAGCAGACTGGTGATAAAAATGGCAAGCGTTGGCAACCTTGGGAACTCCACCTCGTTGCTTTTCACTTGAGGAGAGCCTGAATACCCAGCGAATTCACCCTTAGCTAACAGACTGTTTTTGAATGTCAATAATGAGTGAAAAATCATTGTAAACATTATCATTGCCAGTCACTTCTTGACTGGCCTTAATGTTTAATGGGTCTCTCAAATTCTGTCCCATGGGTCTGTCTGCAGTCACAGAGCTCTGCAGAGCTTGTCTAATGTGATTGGGCCTTGTTCTTATTTTTGGATCTTAGTCAAGCAAATTGTCCACTGAAGTCAGTAGGTGAAAATCCCCCTTCTGCAGAGGTCTAGGCACCACTTAAAACCTCAAAACCGGGCTCCCATGGCAAAGGCTCTCTGTTCAGGAGTGATTTCATCTCATGGGATTTTCATCTAAGAAAGGCCCTGTTGTTTTTAGTTTCACTAATTTCTCATGCTTTTGAAATCTCTTAGCACCATCTACTGGCTCTTCTTAGTTGGTGCAATGATCTGTTAACAAAGGCTAAACAAGAATCATTATCTTTTCCCTTGGGCACTGAACATATCAGGGACCTCTTTAGCACTAAAATCCATAGAAAACATTACTGAAGGCCAAGTATATTTTAAACTAGAGGTTTTGCTTCCACTCACCTTTGAATTTCTTTAACACTGCCTTGAGGACAATAGTCTTGAGAGAGAAATTGCTGACAGAGCTTTTCATATCAGAAGAGACAGGAACTGGCTTCTGAAACTTCAGACCCTTGCTTCTGAAGAAAAAATGGAAATTGTTCTATGTTATGATGATGAGCTATAGAGCTGCTCCAATGCTCACAAATATTCACCAAAGTATCCAATTTGTTTTGTGTTAATGCTTGAGAGTGAAATTCACATACACCCCCCCCCGTACCCCCCCAGGCAGAAGGGCCAGCACAAATTTTCAGCCCACTTATGTCTTCCACCACAAAACTGGGCTAGTCAGACTGAAGTGGAGTTGGTTAATAGTATTTCTTCAGCTATAGTGCTAGCTGAATATGTTCACTGAAAAAAAATGACAATATTCTGCAAATAATGAATTTAATGTATAGTATTCGTCAAGATCTATTTATCTCCACACACTCTATCTATCTCACTTATTTCTCAGGGGAGCATGTGTAGTAAACCATGGATTTAGCACACCTGTCCTCACATCCTCTCCGCTGCTTGGATGTGATCCATTGATGTCAATGGAAAGAATCCAATTAACTTAACTGGGCATTGAATCAGTGCCCTACCCTATCCTCATCCCATCAGCTCGTCACGGACAGATCCCCACCACCCAGGGGGCCAGGAGAAGCATGTACAATGCTGCAGAAATAGGTGACTCCCCGCTCTTCCAAGTGGATGTGGGGATATGCCTGCGGGGAGAAGACACTCAAGCCCTTTCTGTTAATATTGTGGTTTGTTTTTAATTATTTATCACCACAACTGGAGGACTCGGCCCAGAGCTAAAGGACCAAACTGCCCAAGGAGACCAACCCTTCTTCTCACCCTTTGAGTGGGACCTTCTTGGGCACTGTATAAAACAGATTGAAACAGGAGAGGGAGATTTCCCCATGCCAGCCAAAGAGGAGGGGAGTGGACTGCTGACCCAAGCCAGAGAGAGGGGGAGCTGTCCCCTACTGTTAGGATATAGATATTCAGGCCTGTCTGTAAAGGCCTATACTCTAAGAATTTAGGTGTATTCTTATCACTTGGCTAGTTATAGAGGTACAAAAGAAAGAATCAAAATCACTGTCTGCCGGTGTAAGGGCCTTCTCTTACTGTGACAGTTTGTGGCCCTGTGCTTAGGCTAAGGCCTTTGGCTAAGCAGCAAAGGCAGCCATAAACTGGGAAGCGACTGGTCACATCCTCACATTCCAAACTAGTCACATGGAAAGAAGGTGCTATTGGGCTGTTAGGAATACAATCCTGTCCTGATAGTGCCTATCAGCTCCAGAGAAAGGGAAGTGCCTAGAAAATGTAAAAGAAAACTTAGTTTGATAGCATCCTGTCTGGCAAGAACTTACTTATCAATACTGGGATGTGAAATCCTCACTTCTGTATTGTCTTGCCATTATAATTCCCACTTTGCTATTGTTTGTCTGTATAATCTCTGTCTGGTTCTGTGATTGTTCCTGTCTGCTGTATAATTAATTTTGCTGGGTATAAACTAATTAAGGTGGTGGGATATAATTGGTTACATAATCATGTTACAATATGTTAGGATTGTTTAGTTAAATTTTAGTAGAATGATTGGTTAAGGTATAGCTAAGAATATTACTATATAAATTAGGGGCAAACAGGAAGTAAGTTGGGATTCGGAAATAAGGAAAAGGAACTTGTATTTAAGCTTGCTGGAAGTTCACCCCAATAAACATCGAATTGTTTGTACCTTCGGACTTCGGGTATTGTTGCTCTCTGTTCATGTGAGAAGGACCAGGGAAGTGGGAGAGTGAAGGAATAAGCTCTCTAACACCTACTTTTAATTATACCTAGCTCTTCTCATCAGCAGACTTCAAAGGAGGTCGGTATCATGATCCCCATTCACAGAGCGGGAAACTGAGGCTCAAATAAGGAAGTGACTTGCCTATCATCCCCCCTGCAGTCACTGGCACAGCCAGGAATAGAACCCACATCTTCTGAAGCCCACAGTTGCCAACTTTCACACGGTAAATAAGCACCCCAACTTTCACAATACACCAAAAATCAAGCTAATCCCATTTAAAAACAAGGCCAAAATAAGCCAATCCCTAAGAACCCCAACACCCTATGTGACTATATCCTCTGACATGCAGTCTGGGACTGTGGTGGGCCCGCTGTGCACCTCTGACTCTCCCCCACCTTGCCTCTGCTTGCCCCTTGCCCCTGCTTGCCCCCCTTGCCCCTGTTTGCTGGGAGCCAATAAAAAGAAAGAAGCAACAAGCTACAACAAGTTACAAGCCAAAAACTAGCCAACAAGCAACTCACAAGCCAATTAAGCCAAAAACAAGCCCAATTTCTGGCATGTTTGCTGAAGCCCCATCTAATGCTCAGATCACTAGGCCAAACTGCCTCCTATAAACAACAAGCAAGACAACAAGCAAGGCACCCAACTCCTTTGAGCTCGAATCAGCTGGCATGGGCCAGCCGTAGATTTTTCTTTGCCATGTGGATGTACCCTAAGAGACTTGTCCGATATCTCCCAAGAAGTCTCTGATAGAGCAAGGACTTAATCCCAGAATTTCAAAGTCCTCCACTAGTGTCCTGGCCATTGTGCCATACTTCAGGGCAGGGTTATTTTACCTTGGTGGGGAAGGCCGTCACTGACTCTGAGGGCCTGTTCATAGAACTATGCAACACTGGAGTCCCACATCAAGGTCTTGAGAGAAAGGCCATTGAAGTCACTGTAAAGATGCCCAACGACCTCAAAGGGCCTTGGATCAGACGATAAGTGGGGCTTAAGTGGTGGTGCGCCATGCCATGTCTGAGCCACTGTGCCAAGCTGAATTTCATCCTAAGGGTTTAAATCAGTGGTCCTCAAACTTTTCAGGGCTGGGAGCAGGGCCACAGCTTCCAGCGGAGTGGGGGATGTGAACAGGGGTAAGGGGGCAGAGGCTGGGGCCACAACTCGGGGCAGGTCTGGGGCTGGGAATGGCTGGGGGCAGGGCTGGGGCTGGGAATGGGGCTTTAGCAGAGCTGGGGGTGGAGCGGGATTGGGTGGTGCTCCCTCCCCGCTGCTGCCCCCGAAACGTTCCTCCACACCCCACAGGTTGGGAATCACTGCCATAAATGGTGCTCGAGGGATACGTAAAGAGTGAGTTGCATGTTACACAGATAAATAAAAGCAGGACTCCAGTCCCTCCAGCTTTCAGTCTGGTACTTGACTGAGCTCCCTGGTAGGAAAAGGAGATCTGAGAGTTTCTGAGCGTTTCTAAATTTCCACAGAAGAAGCTAGAAGGAGCCCAGGGTATGCGTGGAGCAGCAGGCGCTCGTTCTGTCCCAGTGTGCCCAAGTGTCCCTGATTATCTCTGAAGGGCTAACACTGACCGTTCAGCAGCACTCGTGAGACAAGCATGAGGGAGGGTAAAAACGTGGCTCCGTACCTGTTCAAGATGCTCGTCACATCCTAGAAGGGGGGGAAAGAAAGAGATACTCCCTTGCATTCATGTCACTCACTGGACAGGGTGTGTTCTTCATGCCCACCCGCTCTGTGGCCTACCCACCAAATACAAGTCTATGAGCGCTGCTACGTATGAGTCCTTATCCTTGACTTCAAACTCGTGCTTTTAGCTTTGAAAGACCATGGTTCAATCTCCGTCAGGGCCCAAATCAAGTCCCTACATTCTGGCGCTGACTTTCTTTTTGCTGGTGGGTGCTCCACCCTTGCTCTGCCCCGAGTCTCCACTCTTGCTCGGCCTCTTTCCCCAAAGCCACACCCCCACTCCGTCTCTTCCCCCCCCACTCTTTCTCCTCCCCCAAGGCTGCCCTCACCCGCTTGCCCGCCACTCGCTCTTCTCTGCCCCCTCCCCTGAGTGCCTCCCACCTGCTCCTCTTCACCCCCTCCCCTGACACTCCCTCCCCCACCAGTTCGCCACTCCCTCCTCCCACCCCTCGCCCAAGTGCCTGCGCTGTTGTTCGCTCCTTTCTGCCCCCTCCTCCCTTAAGGGTGAGTGAGGAGGAGAGGGGCCTTCAGGGGAAGAGATGCAGCACAGGCAGGGCCACCTGAGAAGAGGCCAAGCGCTGGTGGGGCCATGGTCCATGGGTTCTGAGCACCCCCTATTTTTTCCCCGTGGGTTGTTGAGCCCCAGAGCACCCTCGGAGCCAGTGCCTATGCCTACACTAACATTCCCCACGTTGATAATTCCAGATAAGACAGTCCCCTCGTTCCTTACATTTTACAAGAGCTGCGGGCCAGATACCCATCCTGTGTGTATATCAGCACAGGTGACTTCAATGGATCTGTGTTTATTTTCAACCAGCTGAGGATTTGGCCCCATGGATGAAATGGACCCTTGTGCAGAGAGCCCAACACAAGATACCACTGCTTCAGTGGAGGGTTGTGGTTTGGGCAAAATGTCATTGAGAAGCTAGGGAGAGAATGTCAGATACCTGCAGAAAACACTTAAGCTTGTTTATTGCAGCCCCCACCTACAACATAGGGATATGCAAGTTTGCCCAGGAATTAGAACTATATGGGCTGGTTACTAGGTGAGGGTGTGTGGGTGAATCACACCGGAACAGGCTGGAAGAGACGCTACAGATACACCCTGGACAATCACGATGTGGTACTTGCTAGAAGAGGCTTGGAGATATGAGTAAAGATACTGTCTTCTATTGTTTGGATCCTCCTGTGTTCAGGACTTGTAACTGAACTAGATTGCATGAAAGGTCTCTGACTCCACCCCCAATTTCTCCTCCCAGCTGGAACGACCCACAAAGCCACAAATGTTTTAGCTAGCTGCTTGGGCTAAAAGAAATAACATGGAGCGGTGGGGATGAATTCCCCCATGGTGCACTCTCTTTTGTGTACCAATCCTAATAGCTTTGAATGCAGCCATCATTCAGAAGTAGAGCTGGTTGGACATTTTTCAAATCAAAATTCCCATCCACGCCCCACACCCGGCCATTCATTTTTATTTATGTATGTATTTTGTGGGGGGAAATGGCCACCATTATTGAGGTGTCTTATTTTTGTGATGCTGATGGGTAAAGGCCTTCTCCTTCCATGTCCAAGAGCTCATGGCCCCAGCCTTACCTTGAGCAACTCAAGCACTGGCTGTTGGATTTTCTCTTTCAAGTCTGTTATCAGTTGGTTGAGGAGTGAAATCTCTTTAGAGAGCTCGGTGAGGTTCTCATTCTGCTTCTTGGCGATTCCCTTCTCCATCTTCTCCAGCTGGCCCAGAAGGAGATGCTCCTGGTCATGCAGAAACTGGCGCAGACCCTCGAATTCAGAGATGAGCATCTGCCGCTCCAACTCTATAGTTTTCTTCAACAAAAATAAATGATCAGGTAGAGAGCAGGTCAGTAAACTCATTTGATGGATTGTACATCGCTGAATGCAATGGCAGCATGAGGTAGTGAATAGAGCTAGCCAGAATTTTTTGCTGAAACGGGTTTCCACTGATGAATACCAATTCAACCAAAACCCCCAAATTTCCGTAGATTCCGGTGCCAGAAGGGACTGCTGAGATAATCTAACGTGACCTCCTGAATAACACAGGATTTAGAACTCACCCCCCAAAAAGAGTTCCTTTTGAAGAAGAGCATATCTTAAATAAATAAGCTAGCCCTCCCACTTTTTACCTGCCTTAAGGGCAAGCGATGGGGGGAGGGGGCAGAGAGGAGCGAGCAGGGGGTGGGATTTCAAGAGGATGAGGTGGCACAAGGGCGGGGTCTTGGGTGGAAGAGATGTCACAGGGCAGGGCCTCAGGGAGAAGAGGCGGTGTGGGGGTGGGGCCTCTGGGGGGAGAGGCGGCACAGAGGCAGGGCCTGGGGAAGAGGCAGAGTGAGGGGCAGGGCTATGGTTCAGGTGCTGGTGGCCTCCCCCCACCCACACTTCTAGGAAGCTTCCAGCGCTCCTGCCTCAGGGTTTGACCCTAAACCCGTTAAAGTCAATGAGAGTCTTTCCCTGCACTTCAGTGGGCTTTGGCTCAGGCTCTGTTCGCCATCTGTAAAATGGGGGTAGTAGACCAGCCCTGCCTCACAGGAGTGCTGTGAGGATGAAAACATTAAAGACTGTGAGGTGCTTAGATATTATGGTAATGGTGGGCTGATAAGAACCTTAGATTGCCAATTAACTTGTGAAGAAAATGGGTGAATTTCCACCTTATGCCCTCTCTGAACTATAAGCAAATTCACACAACCAGTTAGTTACACTCTCATTTAACCCAGTTCCAACCAACTAACTACATATTGACTATATCATTTTTATATTGAGGGTGCATTTCAAGGCCCAAAGAGCTTACAAACTAAGCCCTGGTCTCCACTACAGCGTTAGGTCACTGCAAGGTAGCTTACGTCGACCCAACTCTGTGTCTACACTAAAATTTCGCTCCCGCCGACTTAACTCACCCATTACACCGACTTAATAACTCCACCTCCACAAGAGGCATCGAGTCAATGTGGATTAAGTTAGGTCAACGCAGTGTCAGTGTAGACACTACGTTGCTTACATCAACTGTTACTGGCCTTCAGAAGCCGCTCCACAGTGACAGTACAATCAGTGTAAGCACTCCCGGTGAGGACGTGCACCACCGACACAAGGAGCAGAGTGTAAACACACCCAAGTGATGTAATTACTGCAGCGATTGTACGCTCACATAAGTTCGGACGACTTCATTTTGTAGTGTAGACGTGCCCTAAGAGGCAAAATGGAAGAGGCGGATCAATGAGACCATCAAGTGGGGAGGGAGCAACAGGGTGACAAATGTGGTAGTGATCGCAGCAAGGGTGTGCCTTTCCATATGCATCCTAGAAGAGGGGAGTTTTGAGAAGGGATGTGTGGTGATGGCTTTACAGATGTTGGTGGGGCCTGTGGAGACAGTGCAAAGACTAGGGCCTGTGGCCACAGGTGCCACCTTCCTCCTATCCCTGGGGTTGCTGAACCCCCGCTCAGCTCCAGGCCCTGCCCACACTCCACCCCTTCCCCAAACCCTACCCCAACCCTGCCTCTTCCTCCCCAGTTCCACCCCCTCCCCCGAGCGGGCCCCATCCCCACTCCTCCCCCTGGAGCACCCGTGGAGTCGGTGCCTATGCCTGTGGCTGCTGGTTGTGTGCACATGGTGGTTTAATCACCACACCACTGGGGTTGAAATGCATTTGTGCACACACAGCCATCACACGGCATGGCTGTGCTTGTATTGGTGTAGTCTGGACAAAATATATGTGACTCAGCAGGGGATAAAGTGCTTAGATGCTAGCACGGTATGGAACAATGCGCTCTGGGATATCCAGTCACACAGAAAGCCAGGAGAAAGACCAGGCAAACTGGTTAGACAAGTGAGGTTTGGTGTCCCCGGCCACAGGGCACAAAAATGATTGCTGGGACAGTTATCTAACCATCTGCCAGCCTGGCCTTTGGCTAGGGGTGAAATGTCATCAGAATTATTAACCAGTGTTGCCAGCTCTCATGATTCTATCATGAGTCTCACCGTTTTTAGTGTGCAATACTCTCCCTTTTACCTGAATGGCCTGGGGGGACACCAAAAACTTTCAGACAACTTGGAAGTGCTATTTTTGAGCTGCGTTCTAGCGTAAACTGGTAGGCAGCCATGGCCCAGGTTCAGCTGGGAATAACTTTACCTGACTGGCTGCTCTCATTCCCATTCCAGGCTATCAACCAATGAATGGCAGAATTCTGCCTGTCAGCCTCTCCCCTGCCAGCCCTGTGGCTGTCCCAGATTACTTCTACTCTGCACGCTAACGCTAATGTCTACACTTAAGTCACTACAGTACTGTTTGATTGGCAGGGAGAAAGTACTCCTGGGGCAGGGACTTTTTATTGTGTGTTAGTACAGTGCCTAGCACAATGAGGTCTTGGTCCATGACCGGGGCTCCGAGGAACTGTAATAATAATAATAATCAAAAATTAATAATAGCAAGATAATAAACAGAAGGGGGAAGGGCAACAAACTTTAGCTTTGAAGGAATTACATGAAATGAGCACTAGATAGCAGCACTAGATAGCAGCAGAGGATAGGGAATGAAATGTATTGCTCTAATGCAATGTATGGTCAAAAACTTCCCCTGGGTTCTTTCTCTCCTTTCTCCTCGATTTGGGTTGCATGAATTTCCCGAGTTAAATCTGGATTCCCCCCCACCCCTTGTTTATTTTCTCTAAATCAAGCATTTATGTTCCGCTCCCTTGTGACATCCTCCGTCCCCCCTCAGTCTTGAATTATGCAGGCTGATATGATACTAAGCACGGGAAACTGTGTAAATCTGTGTAGAAGTTTGCATGGTACTCGAGGTCTCTGAGGATGATTAGGATATATGAGGCTCCGTGGGGCATGACCAGTGACAGAGGAATGGGAACATGGGGCTTGATCCAGTCCTGTGGCAATTTGCATAGCTCCCACCCAAGTTACGCAGTTTCAATGCTCTGTATTTGCTCAGCACCAGAGGAGCGTCTCAAGTTATAAACAGCTCCCCTTTCCTTCTACTGAGACAACAGATGGTGATCCAGCGGGAGGTCAGAGCCAGCAGTCAATAAATGTTGACTTAAATAGCATTTTGCACTGCTTGCTATGTAGTTGTGTTGCACTTTGACTAGACAAGAGCTACCTTACTTTTGCACTGGAAAATCTCTCTGTTGTTGCTGCTGACCTAATTCTCAAATGCGATTGATGATTTTGTGGGGTTTCCATTTTTAAGGGCCCAGTTTGAGGCACCACAAAATGTCCAGGATTTCAGAAAGTGCTAAGCTCACATCCCCTGAAAACTAAGGCCCTTTAACTCACACTAGAAATGAGGGGCACATTTTTGACTGGCTAATTAACCTTCGGAACAACTCCCACAGGCATGTGGTCAGTGCTTAATTTTGTAATGAAAGAGGTGCCAGGGCTCAAGCCATTTTCTTACATTCATAACTGATGCAGCAAGCCCAGAAGTGCTGGGGTTATGAACTGCCAAGGCTAGAAGTGCCGGGGCTCAGCACTGTCACAAATTAAGCACCAGATGTGGTGGATTCTCCATCCCTGAAGTCTTTAAATAAAGGTTTGATGTCTTTCTAAAAGCCATGCTTTGGCTCAAACTGGGAAGATGGACTTGTTGCATAAATTACTGGGTGGGGGGGTCTCTGGGTCTGTTATGCAGAAGCTCAGACTGGCCTCTAAAATCTAGGGCTCCATGACTCTGAGGTGTCTTAAATAGGGCAAGGGCACCAACAAAGTGTGTGGTGGGGAGCATCAAAAATCACAAGTCCTTTATCAGATTTTAGGACAGTTTTAGTATTTCTATGACACCTACCTCCAAAATAACCCAATGGGAATCAGGAGCTGCAGAAGTACCCTAAAAGTAGTGGGGGGCCTACAGATGCCTGAATCATGGCCCCACCCCCGCCGCACGCCACCCTCTGAGGCTCCACCCCTGCACTGCCCCTTCTCCCTGAGCCCCCTCCTTCATGCCGCCAATTCTCCCAAGGCCCAGCCCTTACACTGCCCCTTCCCCCAAGATCCTGCCCCCTGCTCGCTCCTCTCTGCCCCCTCCCGCCGTTGCTCACCCTTACAGCCGGTAAAAAGTGTGGGGCCATGGCCGCCTGGTCCCACCTATTCTGGCACCCCTGATGGGAATGTAGTGTTACACACTAAGAAGAATCAAGTTTACCACCGTGCAGACATAAATGTCAATGAGAGTTAGGCTCCTAACTCATTTATATCTTAAAAAGAAAAGGAGTACTTGTGGCACCTTAGAGACTAACAAATTTATCTGAGCATAAGCTTTCGTGAACTACAGCACACTTCATCGGTGAAGTGAGCTGTAGCTCACGAAAGCTCATGCTCAAATAAATTTGTTAGTCTCTAAGGTGCCACAAGTACTCCTTTTCTTTTTGCGAATACAGACTAACATGGCTGCTACTCTGAAACCTGTCATTTATATCTTGTTATTAATAGCAGGCACCCACCAGTAGCTCTTGGCTTTTCTTATCATCCTTTGATTTAAATTCCAGCAATTCTTGTCTCTCTTTTTTTCAGGAAATCCAACTGGCTCTGAATTTGTTCCTAGGAACAACAGGAAACATTACATTTGATTATTATTATTTGTTTTTGTTGGGGTCTTATTTGTGTTGGTGTATTTTGTTCTCAGTGCACAGAGACAACACAAGAGAAAAAACTCAGCGTTACTCACACAAACACATTCATGCAAATGAAACGATCATGTTCTCACACAAAAAGAGGCAGACCTATGCATACATACAAACAGACAGACAGACAGACATACACAGAGAAGGAACAAAGTCATTTTTCTGCATGCACACACACACAAAGAGGCAAACACACAAACACAGAGAAGAAACTCATACGCACATACGCACTAATACATTCTCACACACGCAGTATTGCTGCATTTATCAGCTGTAAATTCCATTTTAATTATCACCATTGAAGACATAAACAGAAAACTTAGCCCCGTCTCAGAAGAATCAGTGTCTGCAAAAGACCTTATTCATCCTTGGGAATTCTCCCTTGCCAAAAATAGATCGGGAGACTCTCTCTCATTTAACCCTTCGTTTTCTAACAAGGCAACTGAGTAAGTACAGTAAGTGTTTGCAGCGTCAGGCTCCTTCAATCACATGGCTTAAATTCAATATAATTAAGGGAGACTAACTGGAGCCAGCATTCTCCAACTTTCCCATAGTATGCACCACATCTTGACAGAGAGATTGTCTTCTAGACTTATGATCCTGCATCCTCCCTCCCCATTTGCAATCAGATAACATCAGGGTAGCGGTCACAGCAACTGCTTATACAGAAAGGTAATATTAGGAAAGCATTTTGTGTATTTTTAAGATGTCTTTTAGTGCAGCTGGAGAAAATGGAGAGACCAGTAGTTTATGATGTGCCAGCTCCTCAAAGAAGAGTGCTCTGTGGAAAACCTCTGAACTAGGTGATTGCTGTGTACTTTTGTGGCGTAGACCAGTGACTCTCAACCTTCCAGACCACTGTACCCCTTTCAGGAGGCTGATTTGTCTTGCACAGCCCCTAAGTTTCACCTCACTTAAAAATGACTTGCTTACAAGATCAGACCTAAAATACAGAAGTGTCACGACCTCACTATTACTGGACAATTGCTGACTTTCTCATTTTTATCATATAATTATAAAATGAATCAACTGGAATATAAATATTTTACTGACATTTCAGTGTACAGTATATACAGCAGTATAAACAGGTCATTGTCTGTAGGAAATTTTAGTTTGCACTGACTTCGCTAGTGCTTTTTATGTAGCCTGTTGTAAAACTGGGCAAATAGCTAGATGTGTTGATGTACCCCTGGAAGACCTCTGCGTACCCCCAGGGGTTTGTATACTCCTGGTTGAGAACCACTGGTGTAGCTAGATAGATGCAGTGGGGGATGTAGATGATAGAGGAGGAGAGGGAGACTTGCTAAATACAAATATAGATAGACATACAGGTCTGATGATAGACAGACAGACAGACAGACAGATAGTACCTTGTACTCCTGGGCAGCCTCCTCTACGGGCACCACAGTGTGAGGCCGGTGCTCCCGGGATCTGTCACACACCACGCAGATCGACCTCTGATCATCCCTGCAGAAGAGTTTGAACGCTTCCCTGTGTTTCTCACAGAGTCCCTCCTCCAGAGCCCCTTTCGCCCCAGGTACTGCAAACTGGCTGATGATCTCGCACATGTTGGCTAGCTGCCTGTTGGGCCTGAAGTTCTTCTGCTGGAAGATCTCCCGGCACTGAGGGCAGGGGAAATCCATCTCCAGGCCTCTCCAGCTCTTGGTGATGCAGGTTCGGCAGAAGTTGTGGCCGCACTCTATGGACACGGGGTCTTTGAAGAACTCCAGGCAGACTGAACAAGTTGCCTCGTCTTGCAGGTTCCCGGGGAGGAAGACAGCAGCCATGGCTCTTTTCCCTGAGAGCAGGAACTGATTTCACTTTAATGAATACTTGGCATGGAATGTGATGTGGGTGTTCCCATTCTGAGACAGCTGCTGTCACAGGGTCATATCTGCAGTGTCAAATTTCTTAAACTGGTAATGAGTCACTCATCAGGGCTGCAGCCAGTGGAGGAGACTCTGATGGAAAACATAGGCAGAGAGATGCCCAACCCCTCCAAACTCCAGATCCGTGTTGTGGATCTGGGTTTGATCATTCTTAGCAATAGGAGGTTGGAAGAGGATGGGATACCACTCCAGATCTGAATTCCAGAGCCAGATCTAGACCTGAATGTCATTGCTCCCTAGCGGGCCCAGCTCACAACTCTGGAGCTGAATTCTGGATCTGTGCTTCATAGCTCTTACAGGCCTCCATTCAGGATATCATTTGAGTGTCTGCTTAAGACCCATTGACTTCAGTGCTTAAGTGCTTTGCTGGTTAAGGATGCTTTCTTGAACTGCAGCTAATGACAAATGTAAGCAGGATCTGAATGAGCTCTCCCCTGTCATCTAGTAATGAGCTGTGGAGGAGGACTTCAGGAGCTGCTCTCCTTTGCATTGGCACACCCACCCTGCCTCAGTGCTCAGCAGACGGGATTGCTTTGCCCAAGCAGAGTGCCCCAGGGGTTGGTCCTAGGGCCAGTTTTGTTCAACATCTTTATTAATGATTTGGATGATGGGATGGATTGCACCCTCAGCAAGTTCGCAGATGACACTAAGGTGGGTGGGGAGGTAGATATGGTGGAGGGTAGGGATAGGGTCCAGAGTGACCTAGACAAATTGGAGGATTGGGCCAAAAGAAATCTGATGAGGTTCAACAAGGACAAGTGCAGAGTCTTGCACTTAGGACGGAAGAATCCCATGCACCGCTACAGGCTGGGGAGCGACTGGCTAAGCAGCAGTTCTGCAGAAAAGGACCTTGGGATTACAGTGGATGAGAAGCTGGATATGAGTCAGCAGTGTGCCCTCCTTGCCAAGAAGGCTAATGGCATATTGAGCGGCATTAGTAGGAGCATTGCCAGCAGATTGAGGGAAGTGATTATTCCCCTCCATTTGGCACTGGTGAGGCCACATCTGCAGTATTGCATCCAGTTTTGGGGCCACCCCACTACAGAAGGGATGTGGACAAATTGGAGAAAGTCCAGTGGAGGGCAATGAAAATGATCAGGGGGCTGGGGCACATGATTTACGAGGAGAGGCTGAGGGGACTGGGGTTATTTAGTCTGCAGAAGAGAAGAGTGAGGGGGGATTTGATAGCAGCCTTCAACTATCTGAAGAGGGGTTCCAGTGAGGATGGAGCTAGACTGTTCTCAGTAGTGGCAGATGACAGAAGAAGGAGCAATGGTCTCAAGTTGCAGTGGGGGAGGTCTAGGTTGGATATCCGGAAATACTATTTCACTAGGAGGGTGGTTAAGCACTGGAATGGGTTACCTAGGGAGGTGGTGGAATCTCCATCACCATCCTTAGAGGGTTTTAAGGCCCGGCTTGACAAAGCCCTGGCTGGGATGATTTAGTTGGGGATTGGTCCTGCTTTGAGCAGGGGGTTGGACTAGATGACCTCCTGAGGTCTCTTCCAACCCTAATCTTCTATGATTCTATGATTCTATTAAATGACCACTTCTGGCTGGGGTTGGATAACAAGTCATTTCGTTATTGGGGGAAGGGGCACTAAAGGGTGGTTATCCTTGTTGTGTGAATCAAGGGCAGTAGAACTGTGCTTGGTATACCCTGACTGAGGGACTCAACCTCAACTAAACTGAACACACTAGGCAGGGGACATAGGTGCTGAAGCCCAGTGCAATTGCAAGAGGGTGGGCATAGGTACTTGCACTGGGTGGTACTGGTGCTGACCAAGGATCTTAGGCATCATTTGATCTTTCCTCTTTCCGCTGTGTAGTAACAGAGCTGCTTAAGGCTCAACGGAAAGTCCTATAACACACCAACAGAGCTAAAATCACTGCTGTGGGACAGTGTGCATTACCATAATGGCTTCCCCCACTAACAGCTGAAGTCACTAAGAGCTCTATTAAGTGGTGGGATCACTGAAAGGGGGTCATGGCCCTCCCACTTTTTGCCATGGGCCTGCCTCCCCCTAAGTCCCCCACAGCCAGGCTGACAGCTGGAGCCTGGTTGGGCAGCATGGGGTACCGTGCTGTGGACCGTCCACCTGCCTGGGGTGGAGGTGCCAAGAGCATCCCCTGGCCCATATACTTGCCCCCCATGCAGGGCAGGTGGAGGGTCCACCGTGGCTCCCCATAGCTACCTGGTCACATGGCTCTTAGCCTGGCCAGGCTGCAGCTCTGAGGCCCCATCCCCAATGGGGTCCCACAGGCTGGGGACATGGACCAGGGGCTGCTCTCAGCCCCCTCCACCGCAGGCAGGTGGAGGGTCTGCGGCTCCCAGCCTGCTCCAGCTTCTAGCTTGTCTGGGGGCAGGGGAAGGGCGGGGCCATGGTGGGAGCGGGGCCCCTGCTCCCTCCCCACTTTTGAGAAGGTTCTGCCACCAGTGGATTTTACAAGGCATCCCAGAGTGCTGAGCAGCTGGTGGAGCACGCAAGGTGCATTCTTTTCCCTTCCCCCCCAGCCGGGGTTGGGGGTGAGCTCTGCAGATGCACCTCTGAATTCTGGGTCTGCACTGACCACGGACAGCAACTGTGAGTAAGGTGCGGTGAAGGGAGGGGCACATTAAAGGAACTTTTAGTTGCTGGACTTAAGAACCTGAGGCAAAAGGACCCTGCCCAATGTACTCTGGGGTGGGTGTCTTGTTCATGGATTTATGTTTATGAATCCTTCTTGTGGCCCTCCTTTTTATTAATAGTTCCTTTTCTACTCTAGGACTGTGTGCTTGCGAGAGGGGAAGTATTGCCTCTCAGAGGCGCTCAGGGGTGGTGTGTAATTGTCCCAGGTTACTGGGTGTGGGCTCAAGCCAGTTTTGTGTCGTATTGTTGACAAGGAACCCTAGATATTGAACCCAGCCCTTGTTGCTGCTGATTTCAACTGGCAGAAGGGTCACACAAGCAGTACGGAAATAAAAAACCCAGATCTGAATTCCATACTCAGATCTAGGCTTTTATTGTGCCTTAGTGGATACAACCCAAAACTTCGGAGCCAAATTCTGCATCCAGAGTTGGGTGTGAACTCCATAAGTGGTAAATAATTCTGGCTCTGAGTTATGGAACAAAGATTTGATCTGAACTTCACAGCAGAAACAAATCTCTGGTTATGAATTCAGAAAGCTTAGATCTACTGTGGATAGAAACAAAACATCAGATCAGGACACACCTGTACAGTGGGATATGAAATCCAGATCTGATTCCAAACTTTTTAAAAGTTTGAAGACAAATGGGAGAGAGATTCAGACTGGAGGTTGGACACAAAGCCAGATCCAAACCCAAGGTTCTTATCTGATATTTAGGTTGTACGTGCTGTCCAGACTTTTGTATAATTTTGGTCATAACAGCACCAGCATGGACTCAGGGCTAAATTCTCCTCTTGGATCCTCAGAGAGGATGAGGATATGTCTGTGCTGATGAGTCTATGGGTTATAGCTGGCTATTTTCAGTGTGTCCACAAGGTGCCAATCTTTCCTTAGTTTTGCAAGAACTGCTTGGCATGAATAATGATTTAAAAGGGTATCTGGCAAAAAAAAAAAAAAAATGACAGTATCTGGTGGCAAAAGAACAACAACCAAAAACCCACAAATAATATTATTTCCACTGACCAACTTCTAAAGAGCTTCCAGAATGTGTTTTATTTTGGCACAGATGCCATGAGGCTTGAATAAACATTGTTTTTCATGAAAAAATCAAAATGTTGGTTGTTTATATTTCATAGTGTTCAAAATGGATGTCATGTTTTTGAACATTTTTGTAACACTTTTATTTATCAAATACATTTTTGAAAAAAAATTCATTCACTGAAAAGCATTTTAGAGGGGAGGGGAAAGGCCAGTTTTCCTGGGGAGGAAAATAATTTGCTTGCAAAAATTGCAATGGGTTTTAGGCTGGAATGATCCAATTAATGTCAGTGATTTACTTCCCATGGGGTCCTGATAAACATCTTTCCTCTTGGTCTGTGAGAAAATCCATGTACCAGTATCTGCAGAGGACTTGAATGTGTGTGTGAAGGACTGGGGAACGGAGTTAAAATAGTTTGTCGTTAACATGCTCTCCAAGAACAAAGGCAAGAAACTTCACCCTGCTAGTTGTTTTTACTCTGTATTCCTTGATGGATGGATGGATAATCGTCTCATCCCATATGTGCAATGCAAAGATAGATAGAAAAACAGACAGACTGACAGATAATTCATCTGTCCAGATGCATCATAGAGAGGAGGAGACATTATGGCATCTTCAAAAGTCTCAGGACACCTGTCTGGCATCAGAGCACCCCTCAGTGACACTGAGACTGTTTCCTCACACAGTGCCCTCTCCTCTGTTTCCCTTCCCATCTCTTCCCAATCTCTCCCCCATCCCAGCCCCCCACTCCTTTGCTTGTTCTCCCCCATCCCCCACTCCTGCCCATCACCCATGCTGTCTTCCTCTTCCCCCAGCATTTTTCTCTCCACTCCCGTCCCTTTCTCCACTTCCCTCCTTCCCCCTTGTCTGGTCTGTCCCTTGGCAGAGATTCTCAGCTGGAAGGACAGAAAGGGATCCTCTGGGGCAGAGAGATCAAACACCCAGAACCCGCCTCCCTTTCCCTACCTGTCTCCCAGCTCCATCCCCATCCAGAGGGGGGTGCTGATGAGTTTAACCCTTCCCTTGTTGCTCATTCCAGAAGGGCCAACTCTAACATATATAAGAACATCCACACTGGCTCAGACCAAAGGTCCATCTAGCCCAGTATCCTGTCTTCCGACAGTGGCCGATGCCAGGTGCCCCAGAGGGAATGAACAGAACAGGTGATCATCAAGTGATCCATCCCCTGTCACCCATTCCCAGCTTCTGGCAAACAGAGGCTAGAGACATAGGCGCCAACTGTGTGGGTGCGCTGGGGCTGGAGCACCCACAGGGAAAAATTGGTGGGTGCTCTGCATCCACCGGCAGCTCCCCACCCCATCCCCCCACCCCAGCTCACCTCTGCCTCCACTCCGCCTCGTCCCCTGAGCGCGCTGCTGGGTCCTGCTTCTCCCCCTCCCTCCCAGCGCTTGCTCTGCGAAACAGCTGTTTCGCATGGCAAGCCTGGGAGGGAGGGGAGAGGAGGCAGGGCCGAGGTGGGGATCTGGGGAGGGATCTAATAGGGACAGGGAGGGGGCGGCGCAGGGGCGGTGCCGGGGGGGGACGGGACGCGAGCACTCACCAGCGCTGACAAAAGTTGGTGCCTGTGACTTGGGACATCATCTCTGCCCATCCTGACTAATAGCCATTGATTGGACCGATCCTCCAGGAACTTATCTAGATATTTTTTAGACCCTGTTATAGTCTTGGCCTTTACAACATCCTCTGGCAAGGAGTTCCACAGGTTGACTGGGCTTTGTGTGAAGAAATACTTCCTTTTGTTTGTTTTAAATCTGCTGCCTATTCATTTCATTGGGTGACCCCTAGTTCTTGTGTTACAAGCAGTAAATAACACTTCCTTATTTACTTTCTCCTCACCTGTCATGATTTTACAGAACTCTATCATATCCACCCTTAGTCGTCTCTTTTCCAAGCTGAAAAGTCCCAGTCTGATTAAAGATTTCTCTTTCTAAAATGAGGTGCCCTTGTCAATCACCTGGTACAGGATAGAGCACCCCTTTCTGAGCAGCCTGTTGTGAAAGCCCCCCCCCCCCACCAGGGAATCAGTCCTCCCTTAGGGGATGTTTCACTTATGTGGGAACCAGGGCTTAAATTCTCATAGAGTATTTCCCAGAGCCGCTTATGCCACCCCCAACATGCTATAGAAATTCTAGGGGATTGAAAATATTTACCAGAGCTCTGCTCCAGACAGCTCCATCTGAATTTAAGGCCTGGTGGGAGCTGAAAATGCTATAATGGCATGAATGCAAAGCAGGGAAGCCCAGACATTGTCCCACTGAGGGAGTACATTGCACCTCCCCTAGTGCCCAAGACCTCAAATGATATCACCTTTCATAGGAGCGCAGGAATTGACAGACCAGGTTAGACCCATGATCCATCTCGTCAGTTATTCTCCTGCTTCTGACAATGACCAGTTGCTTTAGGACTGCCCAGTAGATAGAACAAACAAATCTTTATTAAGTAAGCAGTGATCAGTTACTTACAAGTGGGAAGCAGATTGGGAAATGGGATGGTACCACCACAGTCACCTCCAGGATGAGTCAATTCATGGCTTCCTTGATCCTTTGTTATGCTAACTATATATAACTTTTTCTACTCTCTCTCCTTATACATATGGATTAGCCTCCGAGTTTTCCATTAGCTCTCTTTCCCCATTTGTTTTGTGCTAGTTCAAACTGCTCTCTTCCGCCTTTGTGCCTCTTTCACTTTCATTTGCTCACAGACATGCTTACTTGCATTTTCTTGCACATACACAATTTTACTTGTGCTAGGATGTCAGACTGTTAGACCATGGCAGTTAAGCCTGAACATGTCTTCGCTTCCACCCAGAACAAGGTGAAAGTAATGCCCTAAAGGGCAACTATGCCCACAGAAGTTTCTCCCTGAGGTCTCCCAGTTGTATGGCTTATACCCCAAAGAATCAGAATTTATATCCCATCAATTTTTTCTTGGCTGATGTAATTGTGGATGGTCTCATTTCCTATATAAATGTCTAATCCTTTTTATAAGCTTTTGACCCAGTGACACTTTGTGGCACGGAGTTCCACAGGCGAGCTATGGATTATGTTTAAAATATTTTCTTATTGACTTTCCATTTTTAAACTGTTTTGCCTTCCAGTTTCATACAATACCACCTGTCATGTTTGGCACTTCTCCAATGGGGAATCCTGACGTGGTCTACAAACATTAATGGATTTAGCCTCCAAACCCCTGGTATGGTAGGTGAGTATGTTATCCCTGTTTTACAGAGGGTGAAAATGAATTACAGAACACTGAAGTGATTTCACATTTGAAGGATTTATTTAGCAGTTTAAATACACACGGCTGGTGTGTGTATTTCTTCCTTGAAAGATGATCATTATTATTATTATGTATATTGCAGTAGCACCTGAGATCCAGACCCTATTTTGCAGCACACTACACAGAAGCAAAGTAACAGATAGTCCTAAATCATGAGCACACAATCTAAATAGACAGTAAATTAAGCGGAATATTCTTGTTGATTTAAGCTCTCCAGCTCCAAAAATCTGTTTGCCTCCTGTCATAATACAGAGATCATGTTGTTATTATTGTTTATTTTTACTGTACTAGTGCCCAGAGGCCCCAGTCAGGGGCCCAGGTCCCATTGTGCTAGACGCTGTACACGCACATAACAGGCCCTGCCCTGAAGCACTTACCATCTAAGTTTAGGAAGGAGACACCACAAGTGGATACAACCAATAGATGGGGGGGAGTACAAGGCAACAGCGAGATGACTCTGATCAGTGTGCTAAGCAGCCATTACAGCATCAGACCCGCCAAGTTTAGACCTCGATAAATAAGACCAGCTGGAGAAGAAATATAGACACATGGCCAGGTTCTACTGTCAGTTACATGAGTTCAGTCCCATTGACTTCAGTGGATTATGGATTCCTAAAGGCCCTATGACTTTGGAACTAAGAAAAATGATTATGAGTAAAATGGAAAGTTAGTGGGACTTAGGTGTTATATTCATGGCATACACACGGAGAAGTTGGATCAGAACATAAATACTCTTGCTGGAAGGTTGCAACGTAACACAAATTGATTTCTTAGAATTCTGAATGATAAGACACAAAAGAACTCTGAAACAGAGAGAGACAAAGCAGGCTACAACCAAAGAGGTGCATCTCACCACACCCAGATCACATGTTTCCCTCAGAGCCCCCTAGCCTGGCTGCAGGGCCAGGCAACCCCCTCACACAAAGTGACAGCGTGTCATTTTGAACACGGTTTCCAATACTCCACATTAGGCATCTGACAGTGACACTTTGGAGCATTTTACCCCAAGCTTCATCACTCTGAGACATGATCCCTGCTTTAAAGACGACAGGAAAGCAGGTATTTTCCAGGAAGAATGGAAATATCTCTGAATCTTAAAAGAATTATAATCTGGATTTAAAAGAAACAGAAAAAAAGGCTCATGATCTGTTCCCCTTCCCTGCACTGCAGAAGAAGAGAGACAGCAAATGTAAGAGCTGAACTGATTCAGTGACACTGACCCCCACCCCTCTCAACCTTCCTCCCCTCCAGCTCAATTGCAGAAATCAGTGTTGCAGCAGGTGTAGTCATAAGTAAGGTGAGATTCGTCGGGTGCCCTCACCTTGCCGCAATTTTGCACCGAGGTGCAGTTCAGCTGGTAGTAGAGAGGTAATTTCCCTGAGGAGAGAGACAGAAAAGGGGCATGGTTAGAAAAACATACATCCACTCAGGCACAGCTTGCTATGATCAGCTGGAAGACATTATTATATACCCGTGGTGCAGGCTGTGTGCTGCACTCATTACCCCATATCACTGAGGATACTGCAGAACAGGGAGTTCAGAGGAAGGCGGATTAGATTACAGTCTAAGTACCTACATGGGGAACAAATATTTGATAATGGGCTCTTCCATCTAGCAGAGAAAAGTTTCTCTCACAGCGGCTCTCAACATTTCCAGACTACTGTATCCCTTTCAGGAGGCTGATTTGTCTTGCCTACCCCCAAGTTTCACCTCACCTGAAAACAACTTGCTTACAAAATCAGACATAAAAATACAAAAGTGTCACAGCACATTATTACTGGAAAATTGCTGACTTTCTCATTTTTACCATATGATTATAAAATAAAGTAGTTGGGATGTAAATATTGTACTTACATTTTAGTGTATAGTACGTAGAGCTGTATAAACAAGTCATGGTCTGTATGAAATTTTAGATTGTCCTGACTTCGCTAGGCTTTTTATGTAGCTTGTTGTAAAACTAGGCAAATATCTAGATGAGCTGATGTACCCCCTGGAAAACCTCTGCATAGCCCCAGGAGGTACACGTACCCCTGGTTGAGAACCACTGGTCTAACACCATCCAATGGCTGGAAATTGAAGCTAGATAAATTCAGTCTGGAAATAAGGCAAAAAATGTTAATAGTGAGAGTAATTACCCATTGGAACAACAAGGGTCATGGTGAATTCTCCATCTCTGGCAATTTTTAAATCAAGTTTGGAGGATTTTCTAAAAGAACTGCTCTAGGAATTATTTGGGGACAGGTCAGGCTAGATGATCACAACGATCCCTCCTGGCCTTGGAGTCTATGTTAGTGACATTGATGAGCGCAGGCAAAGCTACCTCACTGCATGACTCCATGCATCATCTTTTTCTGATGCAAACAGTGCCTGGTGGTACCATATGCCAAAGAAGATGTTGCTGGGACTCTTATACTTAATGAGTGGCAACAGGGTGGGGCCCGGGAATTTAAATGTGAATACTTTTGGAGGGGCGCATTAAACACACACACAAATGAAAGGTTTGCATGACCCTCTCCCCCTTTTCTCCCCCCACCTCTGGAGGGGACGCCCAGCAGCCAGGAGGCAACGGGTCCCTCCGGCAGTGGCACTTCCTGCAGCCCAGGGAGGGAGGAAGCAGCAGGGCGGCTGGCTGCCAGCTGAGCTCCACCTCCCCCTACAGCTGCTGCTTCTCCTTCCCTGCTGCTGGGCTCCCATCCCTGCTTTCCAGATCCCCGCTGAGGTGAGTCCGGAGCTGGCTGGAGGCAGCGGCAACAGCAGGGAAGGAGAAGCAGCAGCTATAGGAGGAGGAGGATCTTAGCTGGCAGCCAGCCGCCCTGCTGCTTCCTCCCTCCATGAGCTGCAGGAACACATGGAGATTTGGGGGGGTGCAGCCCTTTGCCCCCCCTTGTGCACACCCCTCACTGGCAAATACCACTGGGTGCTTCTGTAGCATCTCCTATTCAAGAATCTCCAAGGGATTTAGGGAGCAAAATGTTCTCACTTTACGCCACACAGCAGAGCTGAGCCTCAATTCTTCAAGAGAACAAAATGTCATTGAAATGTTAGATCCATTTAAAAAAAATGAATTTTTTCATGGACATGTTTATTTACCTTTCTCACTTTCTGAAGATTTCTGATAGAGCTAAAGAGAAGAAAAGAAATGGGTGTTTGTGGGGGGGAAGCCTGTTGGTTGTTCAGTAATTTTTCCACATTTTGGTTGTTGTTTTCATCGTACGTATTTCTGTATTGTCAATTTTACTCACCGGATGAGATACCTATATATATGGTATGAGTAGTTCCATTTTGCTGTGAGTAGTTTTACCGACTTTGGGATTGTGAATATATATGATCTCTGAATCCTTAAAAAACAAAACAGAACAACTCTGGATTTAGAGAGAGAAAAAGAAACAAATCTTTTAAAAAAATAAATAGCATTTGAAAATTCTTCAGTGAAAAGTGACAGATTAAAAATTGTTATTTTGCGATGTTGTTACACCTGTGTTGGTCCCAGGATATTAAAGCAAGAAGGTGGATGAGGTAATATCTTTTATTGGACCAACTTCTGTTGGTGAAAGACACAAGCCAGGGCCATCCTTACCCATACGCAAAGTACGCAGCTGCATTGGGCACCAGGAAATTTGGGGCACCAAATTTCCTGGTGCCCTATGCAGCTGCGTGCTGCTCCAGCCCCTGCTCCACCCCTTCCCCAAAACCCCCGCCCCTGCTCTGCCCCCACCCCGCCTCTTCCCACCCCTGCTCCACCCCAACATGGCCCCCCCCGACTCCACCCCTTCCCATGAGGACTGCAGTAGGGGTCGGGCCTGCACTCGCCAGGCAGCGATACGTGGAGCAACCCAGCCCCAGCCCGCTCTGTGCCACCGGCTCCCAGCCTTCTTGCCGGTAAATGCTGGGGGCCAATTCCCCCTGCCCCCCAACCCCCAAAGCTGGGACCCAGGGGAGCAGAGCAGAGTGAGCTGGGGCTGGGTCACTCCACTTCCCACCGCCCCGTGAGTATGGGGTCGGGCCTGCCCTGCACTCACTGGGCAGCAGGAAGTGGAACGACCCAGCCTCAACCTGCTCTGCTCTGCCGGCTCTTGCTGGGGGGCGGTTTCCCCCCTGCCCCCAAGCCTGCTCCTGCTCCCCTGCGGAGGCCTGGGGCCACATACACACCCCTGCAGCGGGGGGTGCTTTGGGCACCAAAATGGCTAGGGACGGCCCTGACACAAGCTTTCAAGCTTCCACAACTTCGACAACCACCATCTGTCCATCAAACTCTCTCTCGAATAGTGGATCTCAATGAGGGATACGCGTACCCCTGGGGGTAAACAGAGGTCTCCCAGAGGGTACATCAACTCATCTAGATATTTGCCTAGTTTTACAACAGGCTACATAAAAAGCACTAGTGAAGTTAGTACAGACTAAAATTTCATACAGACAATGACTTATTTATATTACTGTATATATTATACACTGAAATGTAAGTATAATATTTATATTCAATTCATTTATTTAATAATTATATGGTAAAAATGAGAAAGTTAGCAATTTTTCAGTAATAGTGGCTGTGACACATTTGTATTTTTATGTCTGATTTTGCAAGCAAGTAGTTTTTAAGTGAAGTGGAACTTGGGGGTAGGCAAGACAAATCAACCTCCTGAAAGGGGTACAGTACTCTGGAAAGGTTCAGAGCCACTGATCTAGAATACTCCCGCACCAGCAACACCTTCTGCAATTAAAAATAAATATTTTGACCAGCTCTGCTACACACAGTCCCAGACAACTGTGTGTAGCAGAAAGCACAGAAAGACAAGTGACTTCTAAGTGACACAGCAAGACCTCAGGCCTGCAAAAAATACACCAATGGGCTCTACTTCATGCACAATTGATGTTGTTGTTATTATCACACCTAGAAGGTCGAGTCATGAACCATGACATCAGTGTGCCATGAGTATTTCCGTTGAGTCTGAGATTGTGGATTGAATTTGGCGTTGTGGGCAATGCTTGCGAAGAAAGCAATTACTGCTTTCTTTCAACTTTCCCCCTCCCCATATCCCAGTCTGACTGTTGCTGCCCTGTCCATCAAGTCTGTGGCTGCACAACTTTTGCTACTGGGATAACCCCACTATAAGTACACAGTTCGATGTCAGTGGTCCTTGAAATCTGTACATACCAAGAGAAGCTTTAATGTTCACACATCTCTCCCTCCATCCACACGTCGTTTCACCTGATCCCTGAACGCATCCAAAGAGTAGAAACTTGCGTTTGCAGACATTGCACCGCAGAGCCTCCGCTACGTCAGATAAACAGAAGAAACAACTCAGGGCTTCATCTGACAGTGAGTGGGGTGGCATAATGGAGCATTGGCTATTGAAGTCAGTGAGTGTAGGAGCAGACCCACAGCACAAGCCCTAGTACTGCTCCAAAGAAAAACAATAGTTGGTGTGGGTGTAGACAGCATTTCACACTTCGTCCACTAGGGGGACCCATTAAGGGTGTCATCAGTTTGTTGGTCCCGGTCATCTATCTTACAGCTCTCTCTCTAGATATCTTAGGAATTTATACGGGCCCTGTTACCATACTGTCTTAGTACCTCAAGTCTTTAATTCATTTATCCTCACAACACCCATACAAGGCAGGGAAGTGCTGTTTTACCAATGGGAAATAAGCCTAGAGAGACAAGAGCCTGGTCTACACTAACTAGGGATGCCAGTTTTGGTTGGATGTATTCCTGGAGGTTTCATCCCAGGACATAATCTTTATTGAAAGATTAATCTTTAGGTGTTTTATTCCAATTGGTTTCTTTGAGTGATTCCAATATCTTTGAACAGGGGTGTGAGATATCCACACTTCAGAGGAGCGTTGTTAAGACAATGTAGACAGCGCTGGGTCAACAGAAGAATTCTCAGGGCGACCTAGCTACCGCCTCTCAGGGAGGTGGATTACCTTTGGGAGAACCCCCTCTCGTTGGCGTAGGTAGTGTCTGCACTGAAGCACTACCGTGGCACAGCTGCCGTGGCACCAGTGTAGCATTTTAAGTGTAGACAAGCTCTATAGCTGGGTCTTCCACCGTCTAAACCAGGGGTTCAGTTGGCTTAACTACATCTCTCAGGGCTGTGGACTGTTCAGTATAGACCAGCCCTACGACCCGGAGCCTCCAAGGCAGGGATTAGATTCTGCCAGAGCTCTCCGGAGTAGAGCTTTGGTAAATATTTTCAAGGCCTGAGCCCTGGCGCTTCCTGTGGAGCTGAAGCCCTGAGCCCTGGCATGCCCCCAGGGACTAAAGCCCCGAGTCCTGGAGGGCCACAGAAGCCCCAAACCTTGGCACACTCACGAGGCTAAAGCCCCAAGATACCTGCTCAGGGGTGCCAGAATGGGGTGGGCCAAGGGGCCATGGCTTGTCCACTTTTCGCCCTGGCCCCCTGCCCCTCCTCTTCTCCCTGAAGCCCAGCCCCTAGGCCAGGCCAGAAGCCAAAGCTGGGTTGGGATAAGAGCCATGTGAGCAGCTGCAGACTCTCCATCTCCCCTGGGCAGGGAGTCCGGGGGGTGGAGACATTGGCCGGGAGTTGAATAATAATAATAGAAAAGGGAATGGAGGGGTGGGTGATAGAAAGAGACAGTCTAACTCTATTCGAAGATATGCCACTAAGAAGGCAGGTGGAGGGGCCTGGGCTCCCCGGCAGGGCTCAGGGGTAAGGGTGGGGGGCCCTGGAGTGGGCAAGGCATTGTGGACCCCAATCACACACACTTTTAGGAAGAATCTGTCGCCCCTGACCCTGCTCCACGACTGAAACCCGGAGCCCCAAATCTGTTGGGGGGGGGAGAATGGGGGCTCTGGGAAATACTGTATGAGAATTTACGCCCTGCTCAAAAGGTATTGGAATCAATCAATCAAAGAAAGAAAATGAAAACAATGGGAATAAGACACCTAAATACTGTTGAAGAACTGGGGCTAAGGCATAGAGAGAACATGGAACTGAACCCAAGCCAATGGACTAGCCTTTCTTTATAAGCTAAACAAACCCTTGTACTGCAGTGTCTAATAACCAACCCATTGGAAATTCATATCTGAATTCTGTTCTAGCATCTGGATGTTGTTCTTTTAAAAATTCAATTTAATTCAACTTTTGTCCTGGACTTACCTCCTGCAAAACACAAAAGAGTGGCAAGTCCCACGAAAAAAACCTTCATGTCAGCAGAGAAAGAGGCAAGATGAACCAGACAGCCTGAGTGTGCTTCAGCAGAACACCACCAGGGATATCTCCAGAACTGGCTGTGGTGGAGCAGAGTTTCAGTCTTGCTTTCTCTGATCCTGTTGGCTTATGCGGTGCCTGCCCTATTGTAGGGTGGGAAAAGTGAGTTTTAAAATTGCTTTACAGTAAAGAGTACAAATTGCCTGCTCCAGGGACCTTCTGACTTCCCCCAAGAAAAAACTCAGTGGTCATCACATTTCCAAAAAAGGTTGTGAAGGAAGCCTCCAAGGAACACACACAATAGCCGGACCTGTCTGCCTTTATATTTTCTTTCATTAACCATCTTTTTGAATAGGCTTGAAACTGAGGCTGTGACCACATGAATGTAATTAACAATCCGTGGACAATTTTTGCAACAACGGCTATTTTTCTTTTGGAGCTCTATCCCAATCGCAAATCAGCCAACAAACCATAATAAAATGCCGCTGACAAATATAATCTGGGCCCACATGTCTCATTCTGATCAGCTCCCTTTAAGAAAGATGTAGCTGAGATTCAGATTTTAAGGTGAGAAGGGATGATTGTGATCATTCTAGTCTGACCTTCAGCATAGCACAAGATATAGAGTTTCACCTACAGATTCCTTCACTGGAGGGATTTATTCTTGGCTTGGAAAAGGTCCAGAGTAGGTCAGCAAAACTGGTCAGAGTAATATGATGAGATATTTCAGGGACTAGAATTTTTTTAGCCTGATAGAGAGAAGATCTAGAGTTAGATTGGGAGTAAATCTGTTTTTCATATTTTCCTTTTAAACTAATTGCTGGTATGTTTCATTTGAGAGAAAGAAAGAAAGAAATGAATATAGTCATGAGCACATAGGGCAGAAAATACACAGATGGGTGCACTCTTCTGGCTCAGGTCCTCAGTGCTGTAAATCAGCATAGCTCCTTTGAAGTCAATGATCCTAAATTTGTTTAGGTCAACTAAGGATCTGGCCCTCCCTGTTTTGTAATCCATCTTCCCAGGGCCCATAAGTGCCCTGGCTTGAATCATCTTTACTTTTCTATTCAGTCATCTCTTATGATAAACACCCCCTGTTCCCTTTGGCTGAGCTCCAAGCCCTGAAGCAAACACAAAAGCCACCTTCAGTGCCAATAATGTAGCTGCTGAACTCCATGCTACAAGTAGAAAACAATGTTCTCTTATGAGTTACTGGACTTCATGCAAGACAAAGGACTTGCTAGAACCACAGGTTTCCTCTTTCTCTGGATCTACTACCAAAGAAGGGATTTTGACTACCCTAGAAATTACTAGTCTAAGCTTCTACTATTGGAGGGGACGACAGGACCTGCCAGCAAATGACCTGTCACCAGGACACATTTATAAGACCAAAGACAGGCAAGTGCATGAATGTGCAAAATGTTGGGGGTGCAGCCCATTTGAAAATTTGTATTGAGCTGGAAATGATTAAATACCTTCCACCCAACACAGGACTAAGTGCTACAAACTTTATATTAGAAGTCCTATGCTTTACCAACTGAGCTAAGCAAGCTCATATAGAACACCCTAGCTGATCCTGTACTTAAGTAGCTGCCTATGAAACATCACCTTCTGTAATAAAGGTGTGTCTTGACCTTTGGTATAAAAGCAACTCAGAACAGTCGGACCCGTGTTCTGCTTTCACTGATTTTAGAGGGTGAATCTTGTGCAGTTAATATTCTTTAAACAGGCCTAATGAAAGCTACAGGTGTTAGCTGGAGCCCAGCATAGGAAGAAGAAAGAAAGATGATGAACACTTTATGTAGAAAAGTCAAATGCAATTCAAATCTTATTGGGGGAATCTCTTACCATGCGATATCCAGCCAAGCAGCCTGCTGGCAAACTTAAGTCCGAGCGTCTGCCGTCTCAAGGTCTCCGCCTGCCTTCTCACAAGATCCACCACAGCTCTACATACAAAATAATTCTGTTTGAACCAATGGTCACAGGTTGTTCAGTCCCTGGGGTGGGGGTGGGGATATTGTTTCCCTGGAACAATGCTTTCCCCCACACACCTTGCACCTGAGTAATCATGAGCCTCACCCTCCTTTCCAGCACTGTGCTTCCCAAACACAGATAAGTTAACTCTATGTATGTCTACACTGCCGTGTAAGGCCAGGGTTAGTAGAACTCCAGTTCATAGGCGCTGACTCCGTGGGTGCTCCAGGGCTTGAGCACCCACAGAAAAAAAACGAGCGGGTGCTTAGCACCCACTGGCAGCCAAGCCCCCCCCCCCACCCCTCCTGCATACCATGGAACAGTTATTCAGTGGTGTGCAGGAGGCGCTGGGTGGGAGGGGGAGGACTGGGGATGAAGACCAGGGATGGGGCTGGCATTAGGGGGTAGCAAGCAGGGCAATTGCCCAGGGCCCCATGCCACAGGGGTCCCCATAAAGCTAAGTTGCTCAGGCTTTGGCTTTAGCCCCAGGTGGCAGGGCTGGAAGCCCTGGGTTTCAGCCCCACACTGCGAGGCTTCACCTTTCTGCCCTGGGCCCCAGCAAGTCTAACACTGGCCCTGCTTTGCGGCCCCCCCTGAAACCTGCTCACGGCCCCCTGGTTGAAAACCGCTGGGCTAAACCACTTGAGTGGTCATAGTCCTATAACTCCTTCTCACATTCCCCCTCCCCACATGTTCCCAAAAGGACCCGCACAATTCAATCCTGCCCACTGGGAATTCATGGGGAAAGAATCACTGAGTGACTCAGCTTACTACAGCCAAAGAACCATGGGCCATTCTCCCAGACACACAGTTGAGTGTGGACACAGTCATTTGGGTACAGATTTGCCATGTGACTAGGCTAAAACCCAAGCACCAACCACCTGGACTAACTCTGCAGTGAAGACATACCGTATGTGAGTTGATTCCTAGATCGCCCGGAAAGAACTAACCATTTGAATGGTCCTCTCTCTGCAGATCCCAGCCTTCCTGCATGCCAGGGAGTCAGTCCCCACCCTGGAGCTGGGAATACACACCTGAGGAGAAGTGGGGTAGGGATACAATGGAGACCAGGAGGATAGGCATTGTCCACCTTGAAGTTCTATTGAGGGAAAAAAATGGAGAGTTAACTTCCACTGAGCACTGTGTGCCAGGGAACTCATCCTTGAAACAATCCATTCATGGAGACAGAGGGATGGATCAGAATCAGGATGCAGGTACATGTCCTCTCTGCAGAAGACCCTGTCTTGTTTCAGATCCCCTATGGTCTTTGGGATCTGAGAGTACAGAGCCAAAGGCCATCTGGGGCTGGGGAATCCAACCTCATCCCCTGACAGAATCGTCCTAGAGAACTCAACACATGGATCCTCCATGAATATTCTGTTCTGAGCCCATCAGTCCAACTCCACCCACTTGTTGGGGAGTCACAGAGACAGAATGGGAGAAGGACTAAAGACCACCAGTATCTGCACTTACAGTAAATTGTTATTGGTGTAGGACATGCCTTCTGCCCTTGTCCCAGTTCTGCAGAGGAAGCCAAAATAATTCAAAGGTTCCTTTTTCTCTATGGTATGTTCTGACACCAAACACAGAGATCAGTTCAATCCTGTGTTCCAAAAAAAGGAACGCCAGCCATGCAGTGTTCTGTCCTTTTGAAAACCAGGGATACAATATATATATATTTAAAAAAAACCCCTCCTAATAATGTGGGTTATACCAGACCTTTTGTGAGCAGAGAATCTCTACTGTCCATTATCCTTCTAGGTCAGTACATATGGATATTTAATCTTTGTTTTGTATCTCCAAGGTTGTTCTGTTCTAGATCTAGGCACCAACTCTCTCTGTGTTTTCCTTCAAGATACAAGACCCTAAAGGCGGAGATTTGCCTGCACTTTGAGGGAAAAAGTAGACCATCATTTGGGAGCTTAGAAGAATCCTAGTGTCAGGATGGCCGAGTAGTCTAAGGCGCCACACTCAAGGCTCTATCTTCCCCTCTCCTGGGTATTCTGGCCTCTGTATAGAGGCGTGGGTTCAAATCCCACTTCTGACACATCTTTTTGGGGGGAAGGATAGCTCAGTGGTTTGAGCATTGGCCTGCTAAACCCAGAGTTGTGAGCTCAATCCTTGAGGGAGCCATTTAGGGATCTGGGGCAAAAATTGGGGCTTAGTCCTGCTTTGAGCAGGGGGTTGGACTAGATGACCTACTGAGGTCCCTTCCAACCCTGATATTCTATGATTAATCCCAACCCTTGGTCCTGCATATTTAGCTCCCAGCCAGCAGTTTCTCCCTCTTTCGTTTCTTTTGGGCTAACTACAAATAGCGTCATGTCTCCTTTTCATGTCAGAAACATCTATTGACTGATGATCACATTTCCCCTGCTTGGAACTTTCCTGGCTTCTGCACTACCCCGGTGAAGTGGGCTAGCGAAAGGATCTGAGTCCTCGCTCCCACTTCCTCTATCCAGAGGCCTCCCTGTCCTTGAGGACTCCCCTTCCACTCTCCTGTCTGGCAGAGTCCTCATAACCCCAACAAGGCTGGGCCCAGGATTCCTGGGGGGCTTGACACCCAACCTTGCTGTGGTCACCTAGTACAGGGGCTAGGGTGTCCCCACTCTGGAGTACTCTCTCTGCACTGGGCACTTCCCTGACCCACTGATCATTACATACAATTTAAAGCAAATACAAGTCATTTAAATCAACAACTAATTTTAAAAAGAATAAGGAAAAATGGGAAAGGTTAAAGGAAACACATCAACCCGCTCTGTGGCAGGGAACATCACAAACAGTGTCTCTGGAACTTCAAGGCAGTTCACAGTCTGTTCCTTGTAAGTTCCAGGCCTCCTTCTCAGGCTCTGACTGTGCTGCAGGGATGCTGTGGGTTGGACACTTGCTCTGGTGGTGGCCACACACTCTCAGGCTCTAGGTGGCAGGGCCCTTCTTCCCAGCGTTGCCCCCGCCCTGTCAGGGTTACCAACCCCGCTCTGAGTCTGGCCTGCAGAGCCTCCTGGCTCAGATATCAATCAAACTGTGCTGGACCTGCTGCCCAGGTTCCCCCCTCACTCTCCCCAGCTGCTCACCACACCCAGCTCCGGACTGCTCCAGCCCCAGCTCCAGCTCCACTCTGTCTCAGCTTCAGCCCCACTCTGCCTCAGCACGGCTGTGCTCTGCATTCAGCTCACTGGGCTGCTTCTCTGGCCTCTCTGGCTCTGGTTACTACAGCTCTCCTCCCAGGACAGGTCTGCTCTGCAGGCTGCTTCTGTGACTCTGCTCCCAGCATTAACCTGCTTCCTGGGCTGCTTTTCTGCCCCCTCTGGCTCTGGTTGCTGCAGCTCTGCTCCCAGGGCAAGTCTGCTCTGCCTGGGCTGTGCCTCTGGCTTTGGTGCTGCAGCTCTGCTCCCAGGACAGGGTCTGTTCTCTCTGGGCTGCTTTTCTGGTCTCTCTGGATCTGGCACAGCTCTGCTCCCCAGCTCAGCTTGGGCCACTGCTTTCTCCTTAGCTCAGCCCCACTCTGTCTGACCCATGCAATTCCAGCTCACCCAGAGGAGGACGGGACTTCCCTGGCCTCCTGATTCCCTGATTAGCCTGCCCGCCCTGTCATTCAGGTTGACCTGAAGCATTGGTCTCTCCCCATTGTTCCTGGGGACTGTCAGTCTCAGGGTCCTGATTTCCCATTGACCCTTCCCCCTTTAGTACTGGGAGCTAGCAAGTAAAACACCCCCACTGAATGTTAGTAAGGGGGCTACAGTCCCCTTACAGTTTTTTTTGAGCTAACTACAAATAGCCACATGTCCCCTTTTCATGTCAGAAACATCTATTGACTGATGATCACATTTCCCTTGCTTTCCTGTCTAGGCAGAGTCAGGGTGTTAGGAATCAGAAAATAATCACTGGAAATTTCTAAGCCAGCCTTTTAACATACAACATCACTTTCCCCTGTTAAAATAACTCTTATTTTTTTCTATAACACTCATTCAAATGATGTTAACACAAGCTCTGAGCTACTAATTTCCTTACTGTTCCCTTCATATTTTTAGCAGAATACATTGACATAAAAGAGAAACAGAAAACAAATTAAAACAATTTTCATTATTAATTGAGGTCATGTCTTCTTTTATATAAAAAAAGTCGGTTTATTACCATCTTGTTTTACTCTCAAGCCTGTTTTTATAAATCATCACTGATGAAGTAACAACGAGTTACAGAAATGTACAAGGAATTAATACAATGTGGTTGAAATCTTCAGCCTGAAAAAATCTCTATGAAAATAAAGAGGGGCTGCATGGAGACTGTGAGAGGGAAGTAGTTATTTGCAGCCCAGTGCAGAGCTGGAGACAATGTAGAAAGAAGTAGAGTACAGATCACTGAAGGGGGACAATCAGCTGCTGAAGAGTTATTTTTTCCCTCTCTTGTCTGGGGTAGAACAGAAGAGGAGAAAAATCCTCTCTCGCTCTCATAGGATAATGGAACCATCAATCTGTCCTCTCTTCATGTTGTATTAAAGCTCAGAGACAGAAAAAGACATTTCCTGTCTAAGATCGTCCTGAGAACAGAGAATGCATTTCAATTCAGGTTGAGAGGATAACCAAAATAATGACACTGTACCTTAAGCAGGAAAATATACCACACAACATGGGGCTCAAACCCACAACCCTGAGATTAAGGGTCTCATGCTCTACCAACTGAGCTAGCCAGGCTGTACTTATAGGGTGGTCCCATGCATAGTGACAGTGTGGAAGGAGCCCTATAGCCATTTGGGCTCTGAGGTGTCTTTTCTGACAGTAACCTTCTTTCCTGGTTCTTTCACCCTGTTCTAAATAGGAGCTGTTACAAGGCTCCAGGCGCTTGAGGGTTCACCACCGGATAGACACAGCATGATGGATCACCCCCACCTCTCTGCTTTACACACCACAAGCCAACTCCCGCTTTAAATAGGGTTGTGTTACTGTAATGAAAGCCAGTTTCACTTTCTCCTTTTCTGCTGCTCTTCATTCACAAACCTGACACCCCCTAAAAGGTGCATTCCCCTACCCCCTCTAGCCTCCTTTATTCAACCTTATATTAACAGAAAAGAGAATAAGAAGAACTCAGTTAATTCATTAAACTAGCACAGTTTCCCCTTTGGTTATGTTAACAAGAGAGATCTCTCAATAGAATAACGTCTCCAAGCAGCAGCTGTGGGGCCTTCGGGGTGTAGCAGATAAAACTCTTTGTCAAAAGGATTTAGGAAATAAAAACAACATGAACACTGAGCTGCCCCTTTCCGTCTCCCTCACGCCCAGGTAAATAGTCCTTCTCGCCTCTAACTAAAACAATTCGGAAATCTCTCAGCCAGTGCTCCTGGCACTTTCCCAGGGTCTGGGAGCCGGGTCTTAGGGGAAATGGGCTGGTTTTGGATTCGAACTATTTGCAACGGGATAAAACTTTAATAATGCAAAACAGCTAACAGAATTAGTTTCATTCCACCTGTTTTTCACTGCAGACATTAAAAGACGTGATCTCAGCTGCTAAGGAAAGAGTAAGACAACCTTTTGGGCCACTGAGAGTCTTTATTCACTTGCTCAAGTGATGTCGAGTCATTTAACTTTCCCCCCATCATCCTGTTGAGATGCCGTTTAATGTGAATGGACCCCTTCGTTCTGTGCTGTTTGTTAGTATCATGCCCTAGAAATAGATGAACTCCTGGAGAGGGCTGTTTGACTGAGCTAATGTGGGAAAGTCACTGCTTCCCAAGAGGGGGCAGACAAGCCGGTTCCCCCCACTCCACACTCATTTTTCCAGGGCATCACATCCCCCTGGGGAGAAGCTCCTCAAAGGAAACGTGTCCCCAGGAGTGTCAGAGAAGGGGATGACTGTTTGCCTTAGGAGGTGCGTGAGGGAAACCTGCAGGTAATTGAGTCAGTCCAGCTTCTGATGAAAGTATATGTGGCAGGGCCGCCCAGGGGATTCAGGGGGCCTGGGGTCTTTGGCGGCTGGGTTCCTTCTGCTCCGGGTCTTCAGGGCACTTCGCCGAAGACATGGAGTGGAAGCACCCCTGCCGCCGAAAACTCTTGTGGGGGCCCCGGCGGCAAATTGCCCCACATGCCCCCCCTCTGGGCGGCCCGGATTTGTGGGGAAGGGCCTGGGACACCCGATGAGGCCGAGGAGAGGAGAGAAGGGGTGTTCAGCCCTTTAGCTGCTTCCTAAGCGCATTGAATTGACAAATTAGGAGTAGGGGTAGGGGGCAGGCAAAGCTCAGGGTCCCTTTACATACAATCAAACTCCTGTCAGGTGGTATCAAAACCCCGCCCTTGGCTTCTGGGACAGAATTACTGTCAGCTCCATGTGTCCTCCTGGAAGAGGCTCTAGGCAGGCAGAAGAAGCTGAGTGGGTTGCGCTGGGGTAAATGATAGCAGAGGAGACTTGTTCCTCTTGAGATTTGTTTGTGTTGCTCTTGTGATCCTGCTGTAGGAAGCTGAAGCTTAAGTGGAGTTTGTTTCAGTAGCCTTTGGTTGGGCTCAGGCTGTGACCCTGAGGTTCCTTCACTCCCTGTTGTTGTCCCTTATGGAGAATGGCCAACTTCACAACTTGGAGACAAGGTAGCCTGAGAAAGCCAAGTAGAGATAACAAAAAGCTACACTACCACTTCACTTGTGGTCTAGTGGTTAGTGCTCTCACCAGCAGTCCCTGGGTTTGATTCCTGGTCAGGGAAAAAAGAAGCTTTTCAAAAGTTATTTCTTCGCTTCTGATTGAAAGAAAAACAGGAGTTTTTCCAGACGGCCCCTACTTCTTCATGGTGCTGGAAGGGCTTTGGAGACCATTTCAAAATGGTTCTCTGGGTGCCTCAGAGCAGAATGTTCCCACTGTGGACCTTTTATACAAATAGAGCTGTGCAAATCACTTATCCTTTTGCTTGTTAGCTAGCCTAACCAAATTATAATAACAATAATAATAACAATCCAGGTTGACCCAAGATTAATTTTTTTCAGTTTTCTTGTTGAAACAAAACTAAAAAAAAAATCATTTTTGTCAGTCAAAATATTTCAGTAAATAAAATATTCATGCAAAAACCTTTCACCCAGCTCTATAGACAAGTCTTCAAAATTAACCAGCTGGAGAGATTCAGGATCATTGGCCTCTTCCATTCCTGAGGTCTAACCGCTGAAGGGTTCTGAGGGTGAACAATAGTGCATACCTTTCCACCTGTAGGATATTGGCTACCATCTTGCTCAGGGGCTACGCATGCAAGGCAATGTGGGTTAGTGTCAGGTCTATTTCTTTCGCTCTGTCCAAATGTCTGCGGAGCGGTGTTTGTTTCACATTGCATATAAAAATAATTTTGTTGAAACCTGGGATCAAGGACAAAATCTCTACTGAGTTCAACAGAAGGAAGGTTTTCTCATCATGTTCTAGCACATGTTAAAAGCTGTGATGGTTCTTAGAGCTTCCAGACACATTGACCAGAATTTTCAGAAGATCTCACTTCTACCACTAGAGCCAGATTTTCAGAAGAACTCAGCTCCCAGTTAGGCACCTAAATTTCTGGCCAGTTTTTCACTCAGTCTGAGCTATTTTGAAAAAAAAAAAAAACTGGTACAGTTGGTGGTGCTGGCTACTTGACTATGTAGCCTACACTGCAGGAGTTTGAGGTTCACCATTGTTTTCTCATAATGCTGTGTCTGTATTCTGCCTCAGTTCTGGTGTCCATCTTTTATTCTCATAATAAGTCAGCAGGGAGACTAAAACACCTCAGAACTCATAAGGCTCCAGAAAACCTGCAAATTTGGCTTAGGGTGAATGTGTATACAAATCAACTGTGCTGTAGAAGGGCTCTAGGAGTTGAAAGACATGTAGCATCTTGGCCTCTCTGAACAGCTCATAACATGTTAAAGAAAGCTAGGGTGGATAAGGTGCATTCTTTGTAGTGTAAGGGGGGCCGAGTGGTCTGAGGCACCAGACTTAAAGCTCTGCTTTGTTGGGTGTTCTGGTTTCTGTATGGAGGCATGTATTCAAATTAGGGTGACCAGATGTCCTGATTTTATAGGGACAGTCCCTATTTTGAGGTCTTTTTCTTATATAGGCTCCTATTACCCCCCACCCCCGTCCTGATTTTTCACACGTGCTGTCTGGCCACCCTAGTTCAAATCCCATAAATGTTTTCTTCTACCTGAAGAAATGGCTTCATTTCCATCTCCCTTGTAACATTACAACACCAACTGCTAAGTGTTTCTAATAGAGTTGTTGTAAGAGAATTTCGAAAGCAGGCACGCACCGTGCCTTTTGTTTCTACTGATCAATATTTGTTTTCCTTCATTCCAAGCACTTTTCTCAAATACATCTGTATTTCCCACACATTTTGTTCATTATTCTTTCCCTTTATGAAACTGTAGATTCTTAATTTAATTGCCACATAACTCTGCTCATGATTTATGGGGAAACATGGCCTTTTATAGCCCTTTCCTATGCCCTCCTTCCTCTCACTTACATGAGTTTTCTTAGGGGACTATTCACTGATTTATTGCCCTTCACATTTCAAAGGAAGGTTCAGAATCATTTATGTCGGGTTCACTTCCTTGATTTCTGTCTAATTTTTTATTTCACACAGATGGGAAAGTCTGTTTTTGAGCAGTTTAGCACAGGGGTTCTCAACCTTTTTCTTTCTGAGGCCCCCTTCAACATGCTAGAAAAACTCCAGGGCCCAGTAGGTGGGTGGGAACTTGGGGCTCTAGGTGGAAACTCTTGGGCATAGGCATAGTTTGACTTCTATTTTAAGAGGGGTGGGGAAGGCCTGGTGGGACTCTGACTAGCTCTGTAGAGCAGGGCCCAGGGAAGGAGCGCCACCTCCACCCCGATTCACCTCAGCAGGCCACCCACCTATCTGGGGCTGTGTGAGGGCTCTGTTGGGCTCAGAGCTGCCCCAGCACCTCTGACCAGCTGCGTGAGCAGTCAAAGGGGATTGGGAGCCACAATCCCCTGGCACGAGCAGCAGATGGGGGAATGCCATGGCTGCCCACCCCATGGTCCCACCAGCTTTTACAGCCCTTTCCTATGCCCTCCTTCCTCTCACTTACATCAGTTCACTTATGGGACTACTAACTTATGTATTACACCTCGCCTTTCAAAGGAAAGTTCAGAATCATTTATGTCTGATATACTTTCTTCATTTCTTTCTAATTCTTTCTTTCATAGAGATGAGGAAATGTGTGTTTGAGGAATTTAGCTTACCACTCTCTCTTTCTAGGTTGAAGCAGGCACAATTAAAACCTTCCCTATACGCAAATGTCTATGTGAAAATATTTTCTAAACTACGGCAAAGAAAGGTGGGCAGAGTTAGTGATGGGGCAGATTAATAATCAGCTGTTCTTTATGTTGGTGCTTGCTAATTGGCCATTTGGAATTTTAATCAATGATGACAATACACTCAAAAGGTAACCTCAAAATGTGGAGAAGAAATGGTAAGCGAGCTAATAAGTGGTTCTTGGTGTAACACTACAAGTGATGCATGTGAGTGTGAAAGAAGAATTTGTTCATGTGTTATGGGGTGTTTGCTATGTCATTGTAGCCATGTAGCTCCCAGGAAAGCTTGTCTCTCTCCCCAACAGAAGCTGGTCCAATAAAAGCTATTACTCCACCCAACTTAGCTTTTGGTAGCTGCTTTACCTGAGAAATGAGCAGATAGACTCACAGCAGATAAAATGGAACAAAGACATTTAATTCC